AAAGGATTAGAAAATACATTGCGTTCCAGATTTTCTCTTAAAATTTCATGAACAAGGCAGGGCTGTTGAACAATAAAAGACTTGTCTAAAAAATGCACTTAGTCTAGTTGACACGTCAGTCAAAATCATTTTTTGTGTACTTATTTAAAGAAATAAAGACTACTTTTAATTGGAAGTTTCTTTAACAGGCTTGTAAAATGGACATGGAAACCATTGTACTTCCCTCCCTCTAGAGTCATGAACATAATGTGGAGTCATCTGATAGAAAATATTAAATTGTAACAGCTAAATCTCAGCTTACGAAGTATTACATTTGTGAAAGTTTGGCCAAGGTTTCTACAGTAACTATACAGCTTCTGAAATGTAATCACTAGCACTGTTTGGGCTGCACCTAGATTACCCTGATAGCTGGCCTCCTCCTTTCTTTTCTCCAGGAAATATGCAAGCTAAAGCTGTCTCAAAAGGGCCTTTGTTAAGAAATAATTTAAAAAGTGATTCAATTTTGATACAAAAGGAAAGGATACCTGGGAAATAAGGCATGAAATAGTTCAGTGAAGAGACAACACAAGGGACTGAAACCTTTTTATTTATGGTAGTTAAGCCTACATGAGGGACTTTCTAATATATGAGAAAGGAAGAAATCAAAGTGGAAAGTGAGATGGACATTCTACAGGAGCTTCCCATAGTCTTGGATTGGCATTTGTAGACAAAGAGTGTGAGTTGCTTCTGATAAAATGTTGCATAGCATTAAAGATTTTGTACATCAAAGTTGCAGATTCAATCATACAACCTATCCATTTAGCACTGGTAGCCCAGTGAGTGGGCATGTAAAGTCCTCTCTAGGATTGATCAGGAGAAATAAGAAATAAAGTTCTTTCTTTAGGCTCTAAGTACAGAATTTGACCAAAAAGCCAAAACTCTCTTATTTCCTGTAGCGTGCAAGCTCATTTGTTACCAGTAGGATTGCCAAGTTCATAGTCAATGTCAATTGACTGAGAACTTATTTTATATAATCAATTGGGATAAAATAATTTTATTTTATTTATTTTATTTTATTTCATTTTAAAGCTTTGTACATGTGCATTTCATGCATCATATATTTTTGCATATTGGCTTTGCCTTTCATTTTGATAAGGCCAGTTGGTTAATCAATAAAAGTGAATGAATACGAGAGTGAATGATATAAATTGTGGGTAGAGATTTGTAAGAAGGGTCTGAATGTAAGTGCATGGCAGTGTCAGTATACTGCAACAGCCAAATGATAATCCAGTGCTAACTGAATCTTGCTCATAGAAGAGAAGGATCATTTTTAGACTTAAGGTATTATGTGTATGGAAATTATTTTATTTCTTGATTTTACAAATGTATCTATATTTATTTCAGAACCATGCTTTAGAACAGTGTTTCTCAATCTTGACAATTTTAAGGCATGTGGACTTCAACTCCCAGAATTCCACAGCCAGCAATGCTGGCTGTGGAATTCTGGGAGTTGAAGTCCACATGCCTTAAAATTGTCAAGGTTGAGAAACATTGCTTTAGAACCACATGTTCATGTCTATTTCCTATATATTCACATGTAGAAAATCGGTGTACATGAATCAAGGTTGGGATTCTTTATATGAATGATAGAATGAGGTCTGGTTTGTGAAATGAATGTTATTTTTTCCAGGTATGCTACTATCTAAAGTTGGCATGGGCTGCAAGACATACATAATTTTGTGGTCTTTTTTGGTCCATAAAGTTCCCTAAAATTTGTGCAACTGCTAAATAACCATGGCAATTGCATAATAGCAGATTCCCAAGATAAAGAGTCCCTACTATAAAGTAGTTATTATGTTATAGGGCTCCACAATCTCCTTAAATAATCTTTGTGCATGTCTCTAATGTTTCTTTGAAACAAAGGGCAACTACAATGGTGTCAAAATATATAATTTATGCAACCATGTTCTGAAGGAAAGAATGGTCAGGGGTCCTTGGTGCTCTCTGAGCTTGCTTGTTTTCTTGAAGACATTTCATTACCCTAACTAGATAACATCTGTTTGACCTGGTTGGTCTGAAGTTGATCTAGTCAACTTCAGACCAACAATCAAATAAGCAATGCCCCAGTCAAGAAACTGCCAAAGGGCCATCAGTAAATAGCCCAACAAAGAATCCCTAAGACCGCACCCATCCACACAGACAGGCAAGACGCCAGAATATAAACTGACAGCAAACAGCATTCCTTACTAGCACTGGTGATGTTACCTAGTTAGGATAATGAAACATCTGCAAGAAAACAAGCAAGCTCAGAGAGCACCAAGGACCCTGATTTCAACTCTGAACTACAAATATTCTCCTTCATTGGAAAGAATGGTCTCTGACACTAATTTATTCAACAGAAAGTACCAGATACCTTGAAAGAATTGCAAGCTTTTTATTGTTATTTTGGCAGCATTACAATAGCCTATATATAAGCCGGCTATCTAGCAGCTCCTGACTTGTGAGCAGCTTTATACCGTGTGACTAAACACTTACAGCTTTAACATGCCATTCAGAGAAGTGTAGAATCAAGTAGCCTCTAAGAAATGGTTGCAAGCAGGTTCAGATGGCTGAAAAATCTTGCCAAGAAAACTGCAAGGGCTTCTCCAGGCAGTCACTGAGAATCAGATATGATTGAATGAAAGGGAAAAAAATGCGGTAGATCTAAGTTTTAACTTTTGATTGGGCTCACTTCTAGGAAATATTTTCAGACAAGATCTCAACTCCTTGGCATAATTAGTGTTCACATATCATAGTAAGTCATATTGTTTGTTTATGCTTGGTAAACAAACAGGATCAACATAATATATGAGTGCTACCAATTACCTATATCGTGTTAAGCTATAAAGGAGTTTACTAGGTTTTGGCTTGGTGCATTGCATACATTCAGTCAATTTTGTTTGCAACTCATGATTCAAGGTTTAATGTAGATTTGCAAAAGGCACACTGCATGGAGTCCCCTTCCTCCCTTTTTTCCTATTAATATTTTGCCCCCTTCTTTGATTTATTTTTTAATGGGGAGATTGCAGAAGCATAAAGCACTCCAGAGCTTAATCTTTATTATTGCATTGTCCCCAATTGATCCTGTCACCACCTAGTCTTGGTGTATATCTCTTGATCCGATGGAACAGTATATTCCTGGCTTAGTGTATTGTGTAACCCAAACTTTAGTGTAGCATATTCAGTGTCATATATGAGTATCAATGATGTTTAAATGAGGAGAGGTAGGCAAAAGTGCTGCTGAGCTATTGCTCAGTAATTTCTGCAGTTTTGAACAAGTACAGTGGCTTCACATTTGTGATGCTCTAATTAGAGATAAGTAGGGATGGTGATTGGGTGAATTAAGGACACTGTTAAGAAAAAAGCAAAAAAGGGCACACAGGTGCACTTATTTGGCATGGATCTACATCAGGGGTGTCAAACTGCTGGCCCGTGGGCCGGATACGTCTTGCCGAAACCGCGCCCACTCCATTGCCGGCAATGGAAAAAAAGTTGCGATACGTCGCGACACATCATGTGACGTTGTGAGTTTGACACCCCTGGTTTACACAATTGAAAAAGGTTAGGCAATCCAATTGCATAAAGATTCATTTTCCAAGTGAAGTGTCAAAAGATGACAGGTCTTAGGCTGTTGGAAAAGGATCCCAAAGATAAAATCCCTGCTAAGATTAGCTCCCATATGAAGTAGAGATTCTCTGGCTCCCATTTTTCTAGATTCTTTGGCAGCTGTTTATTATATAACAATATATATATGGGCTTATACTTCATCTTAGAAACAGCAGAACCTATTATTTTGTCATATGAACTGTGGGATCTATTCAAAATATATCTTGAAGAAAGCTGTGATGAGTAAATTGAAACCCTATTATGAAATAGGATATATTTGGCATGACAGTTTGTGGACAGACAAGATAAACATTGTCTTATGACCTGCTTGTGAGTTTCTGGAAGCAATTAGTTGGTCACCCACGTTGCTATTTCACTGCCTGAAACAAATATGGTGCACCCTCTAACATTACATGTGCAAAAGCCAGTAGATTGGAAGTGGAATTTTATTTCAGCACCAGTGACAGCATCTTTCACAGCCCCTGAGGACGACAGGCTAGCTCAGAAAACAGAGAGATGATATAGTTATTGTGCATATAGTTCTGTCTTCCAACAATTTACAATTGTTCCAGTTTTCCCACAACAGCTGGGGAAGCTACTTCACTCTCCCTAATTGCACAACTGGACTGTTGTGAGCAATCCACATAGAAATAATATACTTGGCAAGATGAATCTTTGGTGATTTAGCAAGATTGCTGTATACCAATTTAGCCTCCTGGGACTTTAATTTTATGGTAAAGGAAGCCAGTTGGATATTAAATGCTTGGACTGTCTAGCTTCTCCAGGGGTAGAATCCCATATTGCAAGTAAGGTAAAGGAGTCCCCACAGATTTCACTCTGCTAGTCTTTGCCAACTATAGAGGGCAGTGCTCATCTCCATTTCCTCCATATTGCAGGACTAGGTAGGAATCCTGTCCCCAAGATTTTAGAGGACTGTTGCCAGCTTGAAGACACAGTATTGAACTGGATTGGCCAGTCAATAGTAGAAGATTATAAACCTGTGCCATTTCAGAAATACAACATGGGAATACATGAAACCAGAACTTTGGCCGTTAATAAGATGAACGCAAAACCACTCACGATCACAGAATCTATACTACAAGCAGAAAACGATACCCTCCAGGGATGCTAGGCAATATCGTCCATCATTTTCAGCCACATTGGCTGAGAATGCTGGCTGGGAATCAGAATGCAGGGGATCTGGATCAGTCCCCATCGCTGAGTTGGGGACTACCCTAAATTTGAGGAGAAACTCTGATTTTCGTCATGCAAATAACATGTCTCCGTAAAATGTAACCTGCTTCAGCCAGTGGCTGCCCTGCTTCCATTTCTTTCTTCACTTTCTATAAATAATATCTCTCTGTATTCGGTTGCAGGTGGAATCTCCCCCAATGGTCAGTTCAGAACTCTACAGCAACAGTTTAGCTCAAGATCCCAAACTAATGGCACGGATCACAAAGGTTTGGTAGGTACTGCTGTTTCTGTTTCCTGTTTCTAATAATATTTAACTGCACTATTTATATTTCAGTGTTATTTATATTTCAATCTGATTTGGATGGATGATTTATATGCATATATGTCCTTTCTGTTGCTGACTTCCAGCCCTGCAGTGATGATGATGCCATATAATACGCTTGTTTATGCTAATAATAGCGTCAGGGCAAGCAATGCCTATTCTTATGCCACAAACAGTGTTGATGTTAACGAGGGCAGCCTGTAGCCCCTAGAATCCCTGTAGTAGATACTCATTAGTATATAGATTAGATTATTTCAAAATATCTCAGCTGATCTAAGAACTGGCATGAAGGGAGTGTGCATGTATCTGTGTATGAGAGACAGGATTTATCTGCTTTTGAAAATAAGTATTAACTTTCCCTTCCTTCCTTCCTTCCTTCCTTCGTTCTTTCTTGCCCCTTGCAGCTGCACCATTCCATTGGCAATAATGGCTATAATTCTGTGAAGGCTGCCGGCTGGTCCTCCCGCTCAGCAGTGGATCTCAGGCCCAATACTAGAATAGCCCCTGTCAGCAATGGCACCGGCCCCAAAAGCCCCCTGTACGGTACAAATTACGGCTCCACCACCCGACCCAGGTCTTTCAATGACAAGAACTACCGGAACTGTCAGAACTATGACACCATGTCCTTGCACTCCCTGCGCCTGACAGATGGTCTAGGCGGCCCTGGGGGTGTGGATGACCACTACAGCTTAATGTCTGAGATGGATCCACTGACCCAAGCGACTCTCTATAAAAACCGGGGTGCAGGTGGCTTCCAAAGATCCTACGCCTTTGAGAGGCAGATGAGCGCCGGCTCTAACGCTTGCGCAAAACGACCCCTTGAGTGGATGGATGGCATGGTGGTTCCCCAGAACAGGACCGTCATCCGTGCACCAGCCATGCGTACTCTGCAACGTTTCCAGAGCAACAACCGCTCCCGATTTAGTACAGGCTCTTTCAGTGGCACTCAGACCTCCCAAGGAGGGGCTGGGAACACCTATGTCACAGTGGAGCGTACTTCCCGTGCCCCTTCCGTGCACAGCTTGGCTGAATCCAACCACCATTTGCAAGATCTGCATGGCATGGACATGTTTGATGGTCAGAATACACTGATGTCCCAGCAGTCCTACTCTGGTGGGTAAGTGTGCTGTGAATTTGTAGCAGTGCAATGCTCTGGTCCTAAGTGAGCTGAGGAAACTGGAACAGACAGCTCTCACCCACTTAGCTGCCCTGAATTCCAATCAAATCAATCTCTATTGACAGTGGAAAGTGGGAATGCCATGACTGCAGTTCAGGCACACAAAGTAGTCCTAGACCGAGAAACCTTGCCATGGGGGCATGGAGCAGCTAATTTTTTGCAGATTGTTTCTTTGCCTGGATGCTCTTTATTGGTGAATCTGGAAGTTAAGGTACCTGTTATGCCTCAAGGACTCGGGTGGCAAAAGAATGGCACCAGTCTCTGGATTCTGCCATTACTGAGCTGAAAGCCACTTACAATAACCAGCACAGTGGCAAGGAAAATAATACAAATTACGTTCTGTGTGCTCACTGATTTTCATATGCGGAAATTGTAAATGAGATGATTCTGAGTCTGGGCAGGCAGTGACGTTTCTGTCAGTCCTAATTAGACTTACAGGGTGTTGGTATATCGTATTTTTCTATAACAGATGTTTCTATAACAGAGGGGTTATTTCAGTTATTCCTTGTTGACTAGCTGTAGGTATAACAGCTGAGATTGGCAAGGTAAGAATCATTGGTTCCCAGGCTAGAAATGGCCAGTTTGGAAACATATCTTCTTAAAGCGATAGGGGGACCCAATAGGTTTTGGTTAATTGAGAAAAGTGAAAGAAAGAAGCTTAGAATGAAAACCAATGGGTATGAATGAATGAATTTTTATCTCTCTCCCCTCACACCTCCCTCTCCTTCTCCCCTCTGTCCCTCTCTCTGACATCTTTGCACTGCATTGAGCAAGCAGCGGATGGCACAGAATCTTAATTTTTTTATCACAATGTAAAATCTTTTTTTTTCCTGGAGTTTTTGCATTCTGAGAAATTATATTTGTAGTTGTGAAAAGTAAAGCAAGTTTCTAGCACTTATGTAAGGGAAAAGATTTATATAAGGGAATATTGAATAGCAAAAGCAAAGGTTGTAATAGTTTAGAAACTTGATGTACAGTATTTACATTTATGGTCTGATTATCCCAGCCCTGTAACCCTATTTTAATCAGGCTCTTTCCTTATTAAGTTCTCTTCCCCCTCCTTTTTTTAAAGAAGGATCTTTATCTTTTGGCAAGGAATTCAAATTCCTTGTGTGCCTCAGATCAGCTAGCAGGGCAATTTTGTACCTAAATGTATATATGTAGTTTTGTTTAGTAGATATAGGTAGTCCTCAGCTTAAGGTAGTCCTCAGATTAACCAGTCACTAAAATGACCATTCAAAGATACAACAGATACCCCCCCCACACACCTCTATTTTTAAGTTCCAACAGCCATAACCCCATGCAATCATATGATTGCATTTTGGGTACCTGGCAACTGACACATTTATAGCCATTTCTAGTGTCCCACAGTCACATTATCATGATTTTTTTTGCTGGTTTCCAGCATTTACTTCCAGTTTCTGACAAAAAAAGGCCCATTGGATAAAACAGATTCACTTAACGACCATAGTATGTTCACTTAATGAGCATTGCAAAAAAAAAAAAAAGGAATAGTCCAGCAGTGATTTATTTAACTGCAACAATTTATTATTGTAATTCTAGACTCAATTACAGCTGAATTTTGCGGGGGAGGGTAAGCACAGCAATCAGATGGATATTACTAGAAATCTCTGTAAAAAAAAAGAGAAGATTTGAAATTGCATCATGTCCTCTCTGATTTAATTTTGGTTTCAGATTTGATGACATTGATCTTCCCTCTGCGGTGAAATATCTGATGGCTTCCGACCCCAACCTCCAGGTGCTTGGGGCTGCTTATATCCAGCATAGGTGCTACAGTGACAATGATGCCAAGAAGCAGGTGAGGCTAAGATGGATTTATAGCTGAAGGCATGCCTAAGATCCCAATATTATCTTCAGTTTACTCAGCAGTGACTCTCCTTTAAGAGGTTGTGCCATGCTTAGTTAAAACGGTTGTGGTGAGAGGGGTTCTTGCATGTTAAGAGGGAAGATTATTTGACTGAACAAAAAGACAGCTTGCTTAGAGACAGGATGAGATGGGTGCACATGGGTGGGGATGAGACAGGGTGAGATGGGTCCACATCTCTGCTCTTCTCTCTTAACATGTGTGCCACTCTCCCTCTTTCCATAGGCTCGCAGTCTCCAAGCCATATCCAAACTGGTGAAGCTCTTCAACAGTCCTAACCAAGAGGTGCAGCGCCATGCCACTGGTGCCATGCGCAATCTTATTTATGACAATGCAGAGAACAAGCTGGGGCTGGTGGAAGAAAATGGAATCTATGAGCTGATGCGCACTTTGCGGGAGCAGGATGATGAATTACGCAAGAATGTTACTGGTGAGTGGACATTGTTGTAGCCAAATTGTGGGCAGAGGATTGGGAGCATGGATCTATAGCCCACCCAGGAAATAGGAAAATTAAAAAGAAATAGGATAAGTCTTTTTTTTTTTTTTTTGGACTAATTTCAAAACAGTCTTTCTTGTGGTGCAGTGGTTAGAATGTAGTATTGCAGGCTAATTCAGTTCACCGCTAGGAGTTTGACTGGCTCAAGGTTGGCTCAGCTTTCCATCCTTCTGCAGTCAGTAAAATGAGGACCCAGATGGTTGGGGGTAATATGCTGACTCTGTAAACTGCTTAGAGAGGGCTGTAAAGCACTGTGAAGCGGTGTATAAATCTAAGTGCTATTGCTATAGCCTTCCACTGGGAAAAAAGTGTGTCTTGCCCTAATGTTACATTTAATTTCCACTGTATCTTAACATAAGGGTCAGAAGAGGAGAAATCTTAGTATAATGAGATTGATCCTTGCGATTAATAACCAAATGTTACAACGGGAGGAAGCAATTTCTCTCTTAGAGAAAATGTCCTTAATAGGAAATAGAAAAAGGTTCTGCTTTTAAGATTAAATTTAATTTAAAAATATCACTGCATCACCTGGCTGAAAGTGATTCAGCCTTTATAAAGCGATGCTAATATTTTTTTTTATCTACTGTTCAACCAAATAACTACCAGCTAAATTATAATAAAATAGAAACAATAGCATAAGTTTAATCTAGAAAAATAGCTAAAGAGATGAAATCTTCCTCCCACTGGTGTTGCCAGACCTAAGTTTCCATTGTAAAGTAAAACCACATTTCATTGAAACTTTGTGTGGAGGTGACATCTGTTGTTCCAAAATGTCCATTAAATATGAAAGTATGTCATCATGGTCAGTTACAATTTTATGTATTTATTATAATTTCATAAGTGCATAAATGGCATGCATGACAATTTGTGTAATGTCATAATCATGCAAACATGAATTATAGATGTTGCAAAGTTAAGGTAAATTTAATGCTTCATCAGGCTACTTTAGATGTAATGGACTTGTTTGTTATTTTGGAGGGATGTCTGTTACATATTCACATTAAATGTGAATCCATGAAATTATATGCTGTATAAACAATTAGTAATTAAATATGTAATACGTCTGGGGTATGGAAGGAGGGGGAAAAAGGAGAAGGAGAAAACAGATTGGTAGAGGTCAGGAAAGAAACTATGGCCATCTCATCTCCTAATTATTTTTATATAAGCCAGGAAGAGTCTTAAACCAGAATGGAAATAAATAACTAGAGTAAATAATTCAGTGACAAATTTTAAGGTATAAAAAAATCTTGAGGATGGAGTCTCGCACCCCATCAAATTTTGCCATATAATAACTACTATCATTTACAAGCAAGATTCAGAGATTGCTATATCTAAAAAAAGTCTTGCGGTAATAGAAATATTATATAGGGTGGCAATATGATTAAATTGATAATATGGGGTGGCAATATGATCAAATTGAAATGTGATAGGATTTGAAAACCTGAATGTATGAAGAGAGAAAGGGTGGCAAGAAACAATGTACAGCAGATTTAATGCCAGAATTGAAACTGCCATTTGTCTTTACACAAAGATTAAATGCAGGCAAGATATTAATTGTATTTGCCTTTTTCGGAAGAAAACAACCTTGGCTTCTATTTTTATCTGGAAAGAAACCTCTAATGTGCAGCTGAATTGCAGTTACACAACTAGTAATCACATTTATAGACAATCACAGTCCCAAAGGATTTGCAACAGTTACTGCTAAACCAAAATGTTGTAACCAAGAATTTGCCAAGTAAGCTATGATTTACTGAATGATACACAATGTCAGGTTGCGTTTGCACATCACACTAAACTAAAAATGCTAAGTTTAGTTTATAGGTGAAACCAGGGTCATATTTAGGTTACTTGTGCATTTTGTTTGGTGCATTAGATGCATTCTTGTTCAGAGCATTTGCTTACTTCCCTTCCAAGTTCCCTTCATAATTAGCAACCTTTAATTTTCCTAAAATAGTACTGTAGTTTATTTCTTAATTCACAAACAGTAAAACTACACTGAGGAGTAAATGAATGGAAAGAATCAGTGAAATACTAGCAACTCCTGGATACTCTCTATTTCTTTGAATATCCTTCTGGGAAGAGATTGGAATGTCAGCCCGTTAACAAGCTCAACTTCAATGGACTCAGCAAATCCTAGCCAAGAAAAGGGTGCTAGGAGGGGTTGGGGAAAGGGCTGTGAAATTCCTGTAAATTAAGTGGTTGTTCTGCTTAACATCAGCTAAAGAGATAAAGAGAAGCAGGGCTGGGGGGGGGGGGCAAGGGGCACAGTGTGGCTATATGTTGCAGTTGCAGGCAAATATCCTTTCCTAGGAAGAACCGGGAATAGGAATAAAGAGATCTGCCAGAGGGAAGAGATTATATTTGCCTTCTGTTATGCAAAGGTGCTTTTCCTGCCTGACAAGCTCTGATTGTTTAATACCAAGGCCAATGAGAAAGGTAGGCCCAAAGCATTGAACTTTCATGCATGTTTCTAGCATGTTGGACACTTGTGAAATGTTAATGGAATTCAATTGAAGTTGGAGAGAATAATCCTCTGATACCATAGTCTAGGGCAGGGGTCCCCAACCTTGGCAACTTTAAGACTGGTGGACCTCAACTCCCAGAATTCCTCAGCCAGCAAAGCTTTGCTGGCTGAGGAATTCTGGGAGTTGAAGTCCACTAGTTGCCACGGTTGGAGACCCTTGGTCTAGGGCAGAGATCTCCAACCTTTTTGGTTTGGCAGCCCGGAAAGGGAGGCATGCAATGCTACATGCACATGCACAAATGGACCATATGCCTGTGCACGCAAAAATGCACATGCGCCCATGCAAATGGCCACAAGCAAGCACATGCACACATGCAGATGGAGCTGTGTGGGCACGAGTGCTGCAAATGGGGCGGCACTAGTGCTGGTGGGATGCTATGGGTGGCACTAATGCCAATGGGATGGTCTGGGGTGGGGTGCCAGCGCCGGCAGGATGCTTGGAGCGGCGCTAGTGCTGGTGGGACGCTCAGGGGCGGCGTGGTACTAGCACCGGCGGGATGCTCAGGGCAGCGCTAGTGCTGCTGTGACACTAGGAATAGGGTATAGCTAGCACCAGCGGAATGCTTGGGGCAGCACTGGCGTGAGTGTGTGGGAGTGAGTGCATGTGCACTTGCACTGGCCATCCCTTCACGCAGCCCAGTGGCCATGTGGCCATGGCCCGGTAGTGAGCTACAGCCCACAGGTTGGGGGCCCGTGGTCTAGGGGACCAGATGAGCTTAACAAGGTGGCTGGTAGGTTGGAGGAGTGAGGGTTAGAGAAGATAGATCGCTTATAAACTGATATGCTGTTAGTGTATGTCACCAGAGAAATTGGCTAGAATGTTCACATGTTGGAAATGTGAACAACATAAAGGGACATATTGTCATGTTTGGTGCACATATAAAAAAAATAGAAAATTTTGGATTCAAATACAGATTTTAAAGATTAATGCAAGTTGAGACCAGAAACTTTTCTTTTGGGACTGATGGACAAAAAGTTGGAAAACAGTCATGGATCTTTGTTTTTGTACATGGTAAGCGCATTGAGATGTTTATATGCACAAAGTTGGAAAGATTCAGTATTACCTACAATACCTAAAATGGAGGACTGGCTGGTGAAGATGATGGAGCTTGCTGAGATGGATAAATTTACTTCTTTGATCAGAGAAAAGGCAATATCTACATTTATTGCTGACTGGAAACCCCTTATGAATTTACTGAATTATCATAAGTTTATGGTTTTGGTGATATGACAGGATAGATTATAGAAAGAGAGTTATGAGGAGTAAAAGCCAAAATTATAACTGCTATAAAAAAGATTAATCTTTTGCCAATTACATGGCAAAAATCTAAACGTTTATTATGGGAATGTTTTCTCAGCTCTCTTGTGTACTAAAGCCCTTCATATACAATCAGCAAGCTCTAAAGTTCCAAATAAATATTACAGTAATATATTTATTGATAATTGTACTACTTTTAGGTTCATTTCAGTATTGTGCAAGATCCGCTTTCTAATCTAGACAAACCTAGGACCCTCCTTTAGCTTTCATCCATTAATTCCCTCATAAACCATCTGCCTCTCTACCAGTATGCAAGCAGATAAATCCCAGCTAAATCTGCATCACTATCTTAGTTTCATAAGAGGAAATACCACCTCATCTGGCTTTATGTTGCTTCTCTTTTAAGAGAATTCTGGCTTTATGAAGTCTCATTGTATTTTCTCTCACCCAATCCTTTTCATTCCAAGAATTCTGTATATACATAACCTGCTTTCCAGAAACACAGTATTTTCTCTCCGTGTATGGCTTAACTACTCTTCAGCTACCCAAATATGCACAGTTGCAACAAATCTCCTCATTTCATAAACAAATGCATGTTGGCTGCTGAAAAGAACAACCTTAAATTCTTGTTTACTAACTTGTGCTCATCTACATCCACTGATAAGCCATAATGTGAATTCAGCAAGAGCCATCCTGTCCTTCAGTTGTCTGCAATTCTGAATGGAACTGTCCCTGGTTCAACGTACTGTTTCATTGTCATACTCTATTTTTGTAAGTGGTTACCAAGCTAGGTTAAAACTCTTCGCATTTTTATTATCAAGTGTAGGGATTAATGTTCCCCTTGCATGTCAATGCATGTTAAATATCTGTTCATCCCAAATTTCCTAAGAGGGATAATGCTTATGCCTTTCAGCAAAACCAGCTATAAAAGCTTTGGCAGAAGCTGAGGAGAGGCATGAAATTAGTAGCCATACTAAGTTGGTCAGTATGGGGCACTTGCGTGAGTAGGTAAGCAAGCCCAAGCCCGCTGGAATAGAGACCTGACATTTCAACATCTACAGCTTCTCAAGCAGCTACGACAGTGGTTGACGCACTGGGATGCTGTAACAGTTAAGACTGCTCATGAACACAAAACTGAATGAGTGACATTTCCTGGTGGCAGATAATAAACTAGAAAGGGGAAGAAGCAGAAGCTGATTGTGGCAGTTTTTCTGTTGCTAGGCAGCCAATATTTGTAGTTATTGAAGGGGGGAAAGGCAAGTTGATTCTATTAGCCTTATTGAAAGCCTGTTTCAGGCCTTCCAGAAGTTAAACCCAGCTGGATGTCTGGCCCTTTTGTGACTATACAATAAGGAGGAAGAGGCAGAGGTCAGCCTATAGCCTTGTAGAGATCAGATTGCAATTCCCATGATCATTCATCCTCAGTTATGTTGGTGGGGTTAATGTTCAACAGTATCTGGGAGAACAATGTTTTCCATCCTTACTGAAAAGGGAAGAGGAAAGTAACCCGATAAATACGAAAACTAAACAAAATTAAATCCTGAAGTGTCCTCTAATCTTGTGGAGATCTCAGCTGTGAGGAACTATGTAGACAAAGGAGATAAGTTGCTGGAAGGCATGGTGGTTGGCTGGGCCTACAAGACTGTCTTGCTCCAACAAGTTAATATGATTCAGCCATCGCGTTCTTTACAGTGAAATATTCTAATAATGTTGAGAGCCTTACAGTGCTTGATTTGTGCAAGTTTATACACAGCATCACCTAACCAGAACTTGTCTGCTTCGTTTTCTTGCTGTCCAAAAAGAATTTTCTCAGGAAGTTGCTCTATTTCTGTTGTTTTGTCTCTACTCATTACTCAAACTGATGTAGATAGCTAACAGACCACAGTCCAGGACTCTGTTAATTTCCCCAGGTTTCACTAAAACAATCAGAAGTTTTGCAAACAGGCTTTTCTACAGAATAGATCTGCAGTATACTTGTTAGCCTAGGTGGTTCTTTCCTCACTATGGGTATTTATATGTTGCATGCTATGTGAAGCTAGATTGGGATTTAACATGTCAGAAATAATCTTAGATGTTTAGCCTAGCCTGGGATGAAACATTAGATGCACTATTCATAGCAAGGCTATGACAAGCTATAACCTCAGAGCCATTGTCAAAATTTCTTCAGAATTTGTATATGTGTTTAAAGGAAATTTGCAGTTTAACTATGGAATGAAAGAAATATTGGCACAGTTCTGAATCTGATTAGAATTTATTTAAAAATTGGCAGAATTGTCTTGGATCTTCATTGTTTTATTTATCCATTTTAAAAAGAAACAGTTAATTGCTCGGTGCAGTTTCCAAGAAAAAAATGAACCAGATCGATTGATAACTGCTTTTTTTAACATTGACTTTCCAGTTTATTTCAACTGTAGTTTAATTAAAGGAAATTGCTGGCTCACTGGAACAATAGTTTTAAAAAAGGGTTTGAGGAGACATGAAAGAGCTTGCATGTACATTTAATACCAAAATCAAATGAATGAGTGACCTTGGTTGCACTCCAAGATTCAGCAAATAACAGGTCTTGCATTATTCAGAGTTGCTGTGGGATCCAGCAAAGAAAACATTGATCTGAGGTTAGTAATAGTGTTCATGGCCCTGCTCAGCCATAATAGGCTCAGGTGGCCTTGTGAATGTCATTCTGTGTCAGATGACATGGGAAAGCAAATAGGACAGGTTAACATCTTCCTAACGAGTAAATTCTTTGTATGTAAGTTTAGGTGTGTGTCATGTATGTGTTTCACTTTGAGAGCGGGCAACTAAATTTCATTTTTGATGTGTGCCATTGTGCCCACAGTATAAAAATGACAAGGTTATCTTATCAAGGCACTTTCTGAATTTGGGATAATTCAAAAGTAACTTCAAGACAGGTCAGGGCATCATTAGACTAGTGTCTGCCCTCTGCAATTTTGCTTTGCAGTTAAAATCTTCCTCGGAGTTTGGTATTAGCTGCCTACTTGTAAAAGTGAAAAATGTGACTGAAACCTAGTTGTTGTAAAGATTAATAACATAAGGATTGTGAAGCATTCTGCACTCTAAAAATTAATGGTGATAATGATAATTATAGCTTGAAAGCAACACAGAGATAAAATAATATACTACAACTTTTACCTAATTCTAGATATACAGTATTGTGCATGAACAGTGGCCTAAAAACCTTGGTTTTTTCCCATGGGAAAAAAACTGTTATATGTGATTTTAAATCTCAGGTTGATGAAATGTGTTCATTCTTTACTTGTGACTTTGTTCTGTATTGACACAGAGGAAAATCTGGCTGAACTCTTCTGTGTGGTCAAGGTTTAATCTGCTGCTTAAAAAGCTACCAGTCTTACTTACGTGTATGTTACTATGGATGGAATTCAACCTCCTTTTTCTCCCTCTTTATTTTCTTGTTTGTTTTAGTTTTAGCTTTTTTTCTTGTTTTGATATTATAAGCAATAAATATTTTTTATAAAAAGCTGATTACTTAAATCCCAAAGGTCTGGTAAGTATAACAGAGCCATTCCCATCTTGCTGAATAGTGTCTTCTGCAAAGATACGGTTTCATTCCTCTGCCTCCTGATTGATTGCTTTGCAGGCATTTTCTGGAATCTGTCTTCAAGTGATAACCTCAAGGACCGCCTTGCCCGGGACACTTTGGGGCAACTCACAAACCTGATCTTGACCCCTCTCTCTGGCTCAAGGAATGCTGCTATTATCCAGCAAAATGCCTCTGAGGCAGAAATCTTCTACAATGCCACCGGTTTCCTCAGGTACTTCAACTATATGAGAATTATGGGATCTAAAAGAAGACCCAGGGTAGGAAAATCTTGATGGATAATAGTAGTAATTGCTGTTATAATCTTTTAGTAAGATTGGTAGAGATAAAAAGAAAAATGCAAGCATTGTCAAATCCCATTCAGTAAAAACAGTTCACAACTAATGTAGAAATAGTGAACACCATTACTTTCATAAGTTTCTTTGGCAAATGAGTATGCTCTGTATTGCCTGGATAGAAGAGAATATTCGTCTGTCTGTATGGTATGCTTCCACTAAACATATGGGAGAGTTATTCATCCACAGCTTTCCTCATTTATGCTGTTTTAGTCAATGTCACCGATTTAATGCATAGCAAAGATTAGAAACAGGATGCTGGCAACACAATCAGCACATTATGTTTCTGACAGATGAGGGTCAAATTGAATCAGTACTTGAAATGGAGAGTAATTCATTTATGATAAGTATCTATATCTGCTGGAACATTATGTTGGATAGCAAGATACTATGAGAGTGCAATTTTTACTATGAAAATATCCCCAAAAAATATAAATCAAAATTTGCTGCTACTTGACTTTATCAAGATTGTGGCTGAGTTATATGACCTAATTTTGCTGGTTTGAATGCTACAATTGGCCATGCTTGGTAGAGTCAATGATAATGGGAATTCTGCAACAAGTTGCTGATTTCCAAGTTCAGATAACATTTCTGGATCCATATTTTGCTGCTTGGTGGAGGGGGATAGTATGTCTGAAAAATGTTCCCTGAGATATTCTATTTCTTTTCTAAGAATAAGAGGGCAAAGACTTGAGTTTGAAGAGGGTGCATTGAAGGAATATTCTTGTAATGATATCCCTTCATGTTTCTCCTGTAGGAATCTTAGCTCTGCTAGCCAGCAGACTCGGCAGAAAATGCGTGAATGCCATGGATTGATAGATTCCATAGTCAGCTACATAAATAGTTCATTGGAAGTGGGAAAATCAGAGGACAAGGTGAGATCTCTCATTTTATTCTAAATCCAGCTTGAATCAAGTGGGGAAATGCATTTTTTCCGAGACAAAGGAAAAAGCGCTGGTTAGCCAAAGCTAACTAGAATTAAAGTGAATCAAGTTCAGCTTGTCATGCAATTGCAGCTGCTAAGTTTATAGTTGTCCTTGTTGAGTATGTTGTATGAATACAGCCAGTGAAATACAACTAATGGTCCATGTGCAAAGGTGGATATCAATGTAATAATTTAAAAAATATAATCATATGAGTTGTTTAATAGACTAAAGGTCTGGTTCTTCAAGTAAAGTTTAATGCTTGATGGTCACTTGGAATAGAGATTTCTAGGAACTTATTCTTCAGCCTAACAGATTCTTGGCAAAAATACAATATGGATGGCTTCTGGCACCAAAACAACCTGAATCTGTCAAAAGCTGATGAAGATTCTTGTTATAAGATGCCTGTGGCAAACTTTTGAAAGGCAAATGATGCATCATTAAACAAATACATATGTTTGATACAGAAATATTGTAAAATGTTCTCTGTCTGGAGCTCTCTATATTGTTGCCTAAGGGATCCTATAGCAAGAATTAAATAGAAAGCAGAATATATGAAATACACTAGCTCAGTGGTGGCGAACCTATGGCACAGGTGCCAGAGGCGGCACTCAGAGCCCTCTCTAGTCCTAGGCCTTCAGCTGGGTTTTATAAAACCTTTTCGCTTTAGGCCTCCGCCGCTGTGTGCAAAAAACAAAAAGGTTCAATCAATCAGTCAATTTCAACTTCTTGTGGGAAAAAAAAATCTTGCAAAGTTGGAATTGATTGATTTGAACTTTTTAGCCCACTCAGTCTGCTGTTACCACCACAGACACGCCCAGCCAATGGGCCACACCTAGCCAATGGGCCACACTCACCCGGCACCCAACGATGCATAAGTGGGTTTTGGGTTGCAATTTGGGCACTCGGTCTCTAAAAGGTTCGCCATCACTGCACTAGCTGAACATCAGTTTAACCCAATTTAGTCTATGCCAGTTACTATTAAAAATTAAGAAAATATTAGAAAAATTGCAGTAAATAATATACTATAAAGACCTTTTGTTTTTGTTTTTTTAAATGGATTCTGTCCTCACAGAGTGTTGAGAACGCAGTCTGTGTCCTGCGCAACCTCTCCTACCGACTTTATGATGAAATCCCTCCTTCCTCGCTCCAGCGGCTGGAAGGATGTAAGAGGAGCGATGGCGCTAACATGACAAGTGAGCTGGTAGGCTGCTTCAGCCCACAAAGCAGGAGGGCCCGAGAGGTGAGACTGTGAAGAAAGCCATTATGGGAGAGCACTGAGCCTGTTCTGGGCAGCCCAGTATTTCATGGGATGAAAAGAAAGGAAAGAAGGAAGCCCCTGCTTGAGAAGAGTCCACAGCTTGACTAAGAAGACTAGACTCTGAGCATACCAGGATTCAATTCCAGCCCCTACAGTCATGAACAGGCCTCAGTCCCATATCTAGAGTCTTCACTAATGTATTGCTTTGGACAGAATAAATGTTCTCTTTAGCTAAATAATAATAATAGTAAAGTTGGAAGGGACCTTGGAGGTCATCTAGTCCAACTCCCTGCTCAGGCAGGAAACCCTATACCATTTCGGACAATTGGCTGTCCAGTTTCTTCTTAGAAACCTCCAGTGTTGGAGCATCCACCGCTTCTGGAGGCAGGTTGTTCCACTGGTTATTGTTCTAACTGTCAGGAAATTTCTCCTTTAGTTCTAGGTTGCTTCTCTCCTTGCTTAGTTTCCACCCGTTGCTTCTTGTCCTGCCTTCAGGCGCTTTGGAGAATAGCTTGACTCCCTCTTCTTTGTGGCAGCCCCTGAGATATTGGAACACTGCTATCATGTCCCCCTTCGTCCTTCTCTTCATTAAACTACACATACCCAATTCCAGCAACTGTTCCTTATATGCTTTAGCCTCCAGTCCCCTAATCATCTTTGTTCTCTTCTTTGTACTCTTTCTAACAGTAATGATATCCCCAGCATCAGTGGGGAGGTATTCTAGATCAGTTGATCATATTTCATTTCACACTTAAACACCAACAATTCTTTGGTGCCTTGTAATATCCAGAGGGTTGTCAGTTCCTCTGAGTAAAATGCCTTAATTGGGGGGAATTAATGCTAAAGTATAAGAAAGGCATACAGTTGTTATGGGATGAATAATATTCCCCAAAAAAGGTAACTGGGTCAAATTGATTAGAAATAAGTTGTGGAGAATAGGCTCCTTGGGAAATGGATTAAGAAATAATAAAGCCTTTTTGAACTGGGTAAGCTGTAAAGGAGACAACAAGATTGTAGCTAGAACAAAAGTTCATACAACCTCAAAGAATGGTCATTAAATACTCTCTCACTCTTCTCCTCAGCTCCACATGAACTCTGATATTGTGACCTTCACAGAAGTTTCTAAGGATCCTAAAGGGTTGGAGTGGCTGTGGAACCCTCAGATTATAGGGGTGTACAACAGGCTGCTACAGCGATGTGAACTAAATAAGCACACCACAGAGGCGGCCTCTGGAGCACTTCAGAATATCACAGCAGGAGACCGGAGGGTAAGGCTAACTCCAGAAATGCCAGCCTGAATCCTCTGAAGACTTTAAAATAAAGCAATGCGTATTAATGGGAGGAGGAGGGAGTTAAGACATGAACTTGACTTTTTGTAGGACGCTTGAGTTAGATATGGAAGATGAGCTCTCTGATGGTTCCCTTTATACATTCAAAGAACAAAATGGAGTAGAGCTGCTCAAACAGTGGAGTACCTCTCTTGCTGAAACTACCAACAACCTTTCCCCATTTTTTCTTCTGCCCTGAAGAAAAAAGGCTCTGAGGTTTTCCCTGTGCTGAGCTTATGTTCAGCCAATAATACTTACCAACACTGCCAAAGCTCTGGAGTTTTTAACGTAACATATAGAGAAGATATCTATGAAGAATGCATGCTCTGCCTACTTTGCAGTTGCTTGAGCTTGAACAGTGATTGCATTGAAAACTTGCCCATCTTGTTATGGAAAGTGAGAAAAGGGGAGGAGTAAAGCTGACTGCAGGAAAGAAAGGAGTGACAAGGCTTCCATTGTCTGCCTAAAGCCAAACGTGATTAAGGCAGTTATCAGTGGTCCAGAAGGCAGTGGGAGTAAAGGAATAGGAAGAATAAACTGAGTCATCTTTGCAGCAATCAGATACTTCTTGGTATAGATATATGAAAGTTTTATAATTTCCTAGAGCACCTTTCAGTAGAAGAATCAGTCAGATATTACTTCTTCACTGTGCCCAGAATGCTTACTGACTCAGCAGGTGAATCATCATTTGCTAGCTCATTCTTCTCTTCGTCTCTTGCAGTGGGCAGGTGTCCTCAGTAGGGTGGCTTTGGAGCAAGAGAGGATCCTGAACCCAGTACTGGACAGAGTCCGCACTGCTGACCATCACCAGCTTCGCTCACTGACCGGATTGATTCGCAACCTGTCCCGGAACGCACGCAACAAGGATGAAATGTGTGAGTTATTCCTATAGGAAAACACAGCAAAAGAGGCAGTTCCTGCAATTCAGACGCTTTACTTATATCATCCATAGTGAGATTTTAGACAACGAACATTTTCTTTCTGTATTTGCTAACCCGTTTTGTTTCGGATTGGCAGCAACCAAAGTGGTGAGTCATTTGATTGAGAAACTTCCTGGAAGCTCTGGAGACAAGTGGCCCCCAACAGATGTAATAATCAACATCATTGCAGTGCTGAACAACTTGGTTGTGGAGAGCCCCATTGCTGCACGTGACATTGTCTACTTTGATGGCCTGCGCAAACTCTTCTACATCAAGAAGAAAAGGGACAGGTATGTGGGAATGGCCAGCAGTTTCCATCTGTACTCCATACTGACTTCACTATTAGAGCAGCGTTTTATGCTCTTTAATTTCTGGACTCTGCTGCAGCTTCAGAAAACTTCCTTATGGCCCTCGTTTCAGGATCACAGAATCTATTTACTAGATTCACCTAATATTCAGAAATAGAACCAATTTGGTATAGGAGTTAAAGCATCAGGAGTTCTGGTCCCTCTTTAGGTACAAAGTCGACCTGGTGACTTTGGGCCAGTCATTCTCTCTCAGCCCTAGGAAGCAGGCAATGGGAAACCTAAAAACTGCAATCTTGCAAAAAAAACCCTGCAAGGACTTGTCCTGGCAGTCACCAGGAGTCAGCACTCACATGAAGGCACATACACACAATCCTCAAAAGATGCAGCCCCTTTCAAAAGCAAATGGCAAGTTCCAGTGCATAGATCAAGGGCTGGAGGAAGGAAGAAAATGGGCAAGAAAGCAAGCCTGTCAGGCCTCAAAGATTTTCAGTTCACTTTTATTAATCCATCTAGCTGATTTATTTCCAACACTCGAGAGTTTTTTCCACCCTAATGTGACTTGTTAGCTCCTTTGTTTCCTATTGTGGCATCTAGGCTGATCCAAACCATTTATCCCACAGACCTTACCTTAAGAGCCTGATGGGTGAAAATTCTGTTATACTCATTTTCAAAATGCCCCTTTCCAAAGAGCTCTTGTTGAATGTGCACCAGTTGCCTAAAGAAGACCAAAGTGCCTACATAGACTGGCTGTCCTAGCAGAAGAATCGTTGGCATTTCTGTGCAGCTAACGCCACTCACTATTGCATTACAGGAGCACAGAAACGCTTGGCTGTTTCTGTTCTTCCTTCAGCCTCAAATCCTCTAAAAGTAGCAGCAGTTTTCCTGGCTTTGCAAAAATATAGATCTATTCCTGTAGGGATGCTGCTGAATAAATATTTGAGATCAAAAGATTAAGATCCAGGAAATGGGAGGATAAGAGTCCAGCTAGAGATGAGTGTGAATATCTTGACTTAACATCCATTAGTAATTCATGGAGAAGGAGTGAGTATATTTGAGTCCCAATGTGCACCAGTAGCAAGTTACAGATTTCTCTTCTTTCTCCAGCTCGGACAATGAGAAGGCCTCCAGAGCCGCTTCCAGCCTCTTGTCTAACATGTGGCAGTACAGCAAGCTTCATCGGGACTATAAAACGGTTTGTGTTTTTTTCTCTCTACTCTCTATTCCAAAGTGAGCTCATAGCGCCTCAGTCTCTAGCATAGAACCCATAGATGATTCCCTTGGTGTCTGCGGGGCTCAGATATGTTAGCATTTGCTGGGTCATCACTGATCTGATGTGTGCTTGTGACAGTCTTTTTTATGTTTTACAGAAGGGCTTTCGAAAAGAAGATTTCATTGGCCTGTAAAGAAAAGGACCTGCAGAAAATGGACTCTCCAGCCCTAATTGTTCTCCAGAAATCTTGTTAATAAAGCACCACTAAGGACTGTGACGTTACATCATGAAACCCCCTTTTGCAATCCCCTCCTTTTTAAAGAGCCGGTGTCAGTTGTCTAACATGTTTTATATTTTGCATTGATTCCTTTTCTTTAAAAGTCTATATAAAGCTCAGGTTTCTCTGTCTTGGTCATCACACTACAAAAGTATACCATGACTGAAGATGCAAATCAATGTCCATACCTCCTATCAGCATTGCCAAAGCCATGTCCCGACTTCCCATAGAACTGGGATTCTTTTTAGAATGTATGGCTATTGATGTCACAGCAGAAATTGCAGACTGCTAAGGATAATGGAGAAGTTCTCCCAGGGGTCATTTTATCAAGGGTGCTTCCATTTGCTTTCATGTTTATTGCTTTCTTTTATTCTCTCCCTCCCTGGAACTCCCCTAGAACTCTCACTGGTTATTGCATATATTTTCCTACCTCTGTATATTCTGGAAATGATTTGCTTGCTTTTAATTTCAAAAGGACTGGGTTATATGAGTGAGATATAGATTTTAATCATATGTATAAGCCTATTTGTAAGATTTTAGGAAAGTCGAATTACTGGAACTGCGGAATAAATGTAGGCTTTTAAAGTTGTATTAACCAATGCACAGGAGGACAGAGTGCCTTGGAATATAAATTTAGGGTGGAGTTTGGTGATGGATTTTCTCATTTTTATTTGAAAGCTATGAGTCTGAAGACATAATTTTCTGGAGCTACATATAGCATAATTTACTTCATGGCTTGTGGGTTACAAAGCCTATAAATGGGGAAAGAAATTATGGAAAGGAAGTGCTTGCTCTAAGGAGGTACTTAAGCTGGGTATCCAGCCTCCCTGTGATTTGTACAGAATTTTACTTTTATCTCTATTCGAATAGAATTGACTTGGTGAAATTAAAGTGCCTGAGACTGTCCCACTGAATTGTTTTAGCAGCAATAAATTCATAAACTTCAGATCAACATGTATTCGCAATGTACTTTGTTGGACCAAAGAACATTTCTGCACTACATTTATTAGCACTTTTAGTATCCCACAGCAGTGATCCTTATCCTGTTAAATGAGAGTTCTGTTGAATACACAGTTCTTGCCTGATGTGTGGTGACATGGATAGAAGAGTGCATCGTAGCAACCAGATAAATAGTTTCAGTGGCCTGGCAAAGGAACTTTGGTGGGGCAGTCTGCCCTGGGTGCCTTCATTGAGGAGAGGCATTGTCTGGATGATTTTGGGGATGATGAGGTACCTATATGGAGGGTTGGTGGCAGATATGGAGTTAGGTTACTGTTGCAATATGGTGGTTGGCTCTTTGGTGGTCAATGGTCAGTGGTATGGTGCAGGAAGGGAGTGTTAAAAAAATTATCCAGATGTCAAATACTTCAGAAATGTCACCGTCTAGACTCCAGTTTTGTGACTTCATACAGTACTATAGTCTGGCATATGTAATGAAAGTGCTGAGCTGCTTGACCTTTTTCCTCAACAGAAGTTAACAAAACAAATGGCACAAACTACTTAGGGAAGGCAGTTCTTGTCACTCAGTGAATATGTCAGCATAGCTGAATGTACGTTTTTCCTCTTATAAAATTTAATCCAATTATTTATTTGAAGCACAAATGTCAGGGATAATAAGGCTGGCTGAAGGAGATAAGAGTCCTAGGGTAAGAATTAGAATAGGCACTTATCAGCAGGAAAGATGAAAATTAGATCTGTGCAGCAACTAGGATTCAAAGAGAAAAAAGTGGTTTGGAGCACATATGTTGCACCAGTTGGTAGTAAATCAAACACCTTTTTCTGGGGTTGCACATGAGCACCAGGAAGAATCACGGCTTTAAGGATTTCCCAAGAGAATCAGATGCCCGTATGTGGTCCAAATTAAAATCCCTGCCCAGCCTTAAGGAAAACCATCAGAAACAAAATCATATCTTAGTAGCAAACATTAGATCTGTGATAGATCTTCAAATATGACAAAATGCTAGCAAATGTCTTCTTTATGACTGTAACAATCACAATGTTAAAAAAAGGGAAACACACTATTAGAAGCCATGGTGGTACACTTGCAGCTCAAGGTTGACTCAGCCTTCCATCCTTCTGAGGTCAGTAAAATGAGGACCCAGATTGTTGGGGTCAATATGCTGTCTCTGTAAACTGCTTAGAGAGGGCAATAAAGCACTATGAAGCAGTATATAAGTCTTATTACTGTTGCTTTTATATGCTGGGAAGGCTCTGAACATTTCTCCATCCATACAAAATTTCATGATTCCTCATGTATTTGCTTTAGTACTTCAGCAAGCTCATTTTAGGCTTCCATAATACTGGCTGATAGACAACACTGCAAAATCAATAAACAGCAAGAAGCCTCTTTCCACAGCTGATGAATTCATCAAGCAGTTATCATAATACAAATATTTGGTCATGGCATCCTCTTCCAAGCCAAAAATTAGTCTGCTGTTCTTGGGCTATTTGTTTCCATCTTTTCTAAAGCCTTTGATAAATACCTTGACCATGACCGACAACAGGCTAATCCCACAACAATTCTTCTATGCCTGATTGCCTTTCTTGAAAATTGGAAACATTGCCTGTTTCTACAAATAAAGTATGTCCTCAGACTCTCAAATAATTTGAAGGAGCTGACAAATTAGTGTATCACAAGCAGTGTTTATTGCTTCTGCAGTGACTATCTGTGTCATTAGGTTTCCCACTTTTTAACTGATGGATGGCAGCTTCAGAGATTATGGAGTTACATTATTCAGTTGTTCCGTCTGAGCTGTCAAGAGTTGGTGGCTCTACTGGAATATCTTTCAGAACAGGGCAGTTATAAAGGATCTGGAAGTACTATACAAATGAGTCAGTCATTCAATTCTGGAGCTCACAAATCCACTGTCTGCTTTTCTGGTATCATTCATGTTGAAATTTACTGCTGAGGCAGCATAATAAGTGCAGAGGTTGTGATATTCTCAACAATATAGAAGTTCTTCAAGTTCTTTTGCAGTACTAATCCAAGAGACAGTCCATTTTGTTTTGAAGCAAGTGTCAACTTGCTAATTAAATGGTCAATACAGTGTCAAATCTGAGTTTGCACAGTTTTCATTCATCCAAAATCTATGGTTTTGTTTAGTGTCTTCCAATGGGATAGATTTTGTTGGCATGCTTGTTAATTATTTCTGACAATTGTGCCTCTTGATCATTTTCATCCAAGTGAAAAATGGTGACAAAAAATAGTTGGAATTCTTGTTGATAAGTAAGGTCTTGTAACTTCACTCATCCATAAAAACTGGTGTGGCTACATTATGAGCAGTTTATATTAAAGTAATATGACTGCAATAGAAGGGTGTAGAAACACAATGCCTCTTGTTGACTAGATGTCCATGAGTGATGTTTGAAAACAGCTGCTGATTTAGAAATAGTTGAGTACTGGATGAAGGCCATTTTAACTGAGGTATTAATTGGTGCTGATTGGATGTCTCCAAACATTAGCTCATTTACTTCCACAAATGATAAGAGGCACAGGCCACTGTCAATTATCTCTCCAATACCAAATTTGCCCAAGACATTTTCCCAGCCTTGTTAGTTGTTACCAACATGAGCATAAAAAGTCACCAATGTTCAGGATTTATTACCTTTGTGCAATGAATCCACAGTTGTTTATAACTGTATATAAAATAAATCTTTTGCCTCATTCCTCCTTCTGGGAAGCATAATTAAGCACATTTTCATTGTTCCTAAAAGTGACAGTTCTGCTAATTGACTTGAAGCTGATGAAGCTTGCAATACGTTTGGATGCTATGCGAACAAAGCCAATATGTTCTGGGTGTTTCCTGTCTCCACAGTAATACAAAAGACATCACATTGTCACTGTCTTGTATGTGGACACAGACATTTCTAGATCCAGTAAGATGCCATTGTGATAATGCCAGAATTGAAATTCCATACTGAAATAATTCAAGAATGATCATTTCTCAATGTCTGACCCAGGAACCAGTTTGAACATTCTAAGTGGACAGTTTAAAATAGGGTGGGATTTTTTGGGCTTTCCCATTTTTGATTGTGTTTGGCTACTTGTGTATTTCTCATCAGCATTCTGAATTCAGTTATGCAACCCTGCAGATCTATCAGGTAAGCTTCCAGTAAACAGTATTCTCAATGGGATATTTCTTTTTCATTCTCATAGTTCCCAATTCCTTAGCAGGGGACCAGTTCTCCCCCTTCATCTGGGCTGGGGTCTGCCTGAAAGTTGCCTGCAAAACCAGCTATCTATTTTGCACATAGAACATTTTGTACACTGGGCACCATTCATCTTAAATAAATGTGATTATTTTTGGTAACTGATCTCTTGCTCTGTTACTGTATTTGCTTCTTTAGGATGGCATATTCACTTAACACCTAAGTTTCATCTGTGAAATGCCCAACATGTAAGCATGTCAGAAGAAACTTCCTCCCACAAAGTCAGTCTAAGAATGAGCTTCTACAAGCAGCCACACATCCAGAGAGCAGGGGAAAAAATCTATATGAGTAAAATAATTGTGAACTCTTTCTCCCGGCAGGCAAGTGTGCCAAACAAACAAGCTACAGGAAAATCAATGAAATTTGAATTATGTTGAAGTCGGGAGAGTAGAGTGTTTCCTAGGTAATGTTTTAGTAATTGAATATTAGGAGGAAGTATGAATATCACCCTGGGAAAACATTTACTTCTAGCTAGGGCAGAGATGCTTATGGTTGTATCTTTCTGGTACCAAAGTGCTTAATTTCAGACAGGATGCTTGAGACCAATGTTTGGAAATTGGGCTGCTAATTTCTCTCCCACTATCTCCTTCAAGAGATAAGACGTAATAATCCAGCCTGATTATTATAATGATTAGAGCTTAACATGTTGAGCAGCTAGATAAAATTACTGCTAATTTGCTAACCTACTTCTTCACTGAGACCGTCTGATTCTCCATCAGAACAATGTGGGATATGTTGTCTTGGCCATGAAATCAGTTGCTCAAATCTAAACCTAGGAGACAAGTGGACATTGTGTAATCCTTGAGACATAGTTTTAACCTTTTACATAACACGGTTCTATGACAATTTGCCATGGCCAACTAGCCACAGCCAACTTGCTGCAGCCCACTCATTGTGGGACAACTTGTCATGCCCAACTCGCTGCGGGACAATTTGCTGTGGGACAAGACTTACACTAATACTAAAGAAATTGTGGAATTATTATTAAAGGACGCAAAAGGAGGGACAGAATGAAATGAGAATGACAAAAATTATTTTTATTTATTTTGAATAGTGAAATTGAATTGTTAAATTGTCCTGTGGCAAGTTCTCCCACAGCAAGTTGGCAGTGATGAGTTGGGTGCAGCGAGTTGGCTATGGCAAGTTGTCCCATTCCAACATAATACATTACCTTGGCTGTGTTCATGCAACCAAATCCCAACAGCCTAATGGGATGGCCAAGCATGACATGTTATGATATAATGTAGTTTATTTGGTTTTGATTTGGTAATCTGCTTTATGGTTTAAGATAAACATGGCTAATTTGGACCGCAGCTGTGATCTGAACAAATAAGATGTCCCTGAATCAAAGTGTATAAGCCACAAATGATAGTATCTTAATCTTTGTTGGAGGAGGGCTTTACCTCTTTCTCTATGCACTAGGAAAGCCTGAACCATTGTAGGAGAAGCATGTGAAAAGTTAAATCCAAAGGAACGAAAGATAATAGCTTTGGGTGGATTTCAACAGACCCTCTAGAGCAGGGTTCCCCAATCTTGGCAACTTTAAGACACGTGGACTTCATCTTCCAGAATTCCTCAGGTAGCAAGGGAATTCTGAGAGTTGATGTCTATGCATCTTAAAATTGCCAAGACTGGGAAATCCTGCTCTGAAGACAAGGAGCGGATTAAGGGCTCTTGTAGCTTTAACAAAAGGATAGAGATAAGCCTTTTAATTACACCTTTTTCTTCATGCCTGCAGGACAAACTGAACCTGCTAAAATTCTGCATCCTACAGTATGCAACCACAACTGTTGCAAATAATAGGAAGTCTGCTTGCCTTCAAAAGTCTTCCCGGAGGCCTTTGTTCTCCTGCCACCTGGGTAATTAGAGCAAAGTCTGCAGGCTACCCATCCCTGAGCAGACTCATTTGTTACCAAGTAACAAAAAAAAAAATCTGTCACTGGTGTTACTTCCTTTTTATGTGATTGATATTATTAACTTAATAAGCTGATCATACAATTCTCCTGTTCCACTGGTCTCTAGCAGTATTTCCAGCACTGCTACCCAGTTATCATTCTTAGAATTCTTTAAGGGAAATGTTGCTGTAATCAAACCGGTAAGCACATAATCCAGATTTGTCCGTGTAGGACAGGCTAAGAAAGAAAAATGTCATTCTTGACAGTGTCAAGGTCTATTTCATCTCATTCAGGTTTGGATAATGCCTTAACTTTACAGTAGAAAATGCCTTAACTTTACAGTAGAAGGGATGAGCTCATGTTTTGCCAAGATGCTTTGCAAAGCAAATATTTTCTTAAGCATTTATCCTTTCACATTTTTGTCTAATAGCAACTGGTGCTACAATTCACTTGACTGTAGAGAGTATCTTGAAGCAAAGACAGACTGCGTCTAGCTTGTGCAGCATTGGGTCAGCAGTATGCTGCAGCTGCCAAAAAAACCAACACAGTGCTAGGCTGCATTAACAGAGGGATAGAATCAAGATCAGGTAAAGTGTTAATACCACTTTACAATGCCTGGTTAAGGCCACACGTGGAATACTGTATCCAGTTTTGGTCACCATGATGTAAAAAAGATGTTGAGACTCTGGAAAGAGTACAGAGAAGAGCAACAAAGATGATCAGGGGACTGGAGGCTAAAGCATATGGCTGCTGAAATTGGGTATGTCTAGTTTAATGGAGAAGGACTAGGGATGGCATGATAGCAGTGTTCCAATATCTCAGGGGTTGCCACAAAGAAGAGGGAGTCAAGCTATTCTCCAAAGTGCCTAATGGCAGGACAAAAAGCAACGGGTGGAAACAGAACAATTAACCAGAGGAACAACCTGCCTCCAGAAGCGGTGAATGCTCCAACACGGGAAGTTTTTAAGAAGAGATTGGACAGCCATTTGTCTGAAATAGTATAGGGTTTCCTGCCTGAGCAGGGGGTTGGACTAGATGACCTCTGAGGTCACTTCCAACATTTTCTTCTTATTATTATTGATCATTGCATAGTCAGCCAGATGTTCAGACTGGATTTGGCATATTTGTTTACCTATCGAGTCCTTAGCAAGGACCTGGGATAAGCAGATGAGGATGCTTGATGGTATTACAGATATTGTCACAGGATGGAAGCAGTTGCTAGTAAGGCTGCCTTTTGCAATTATTATTATTATTAATGGATCATTGCACAGTCAGCCAGATGTTCAGATTGGATTTGGCATTTTGTCTACCTATCGAGTCCTTACCCAGGACCTGGGATAGGCAGATGTGGATGTTTGATGGTATTACAGATATCGTCGCAGGATGGAAGCAGTTCCTAGTAAGGCCGCCTTTTGCAATTGACTAATAGCGAATTTGTCAATGCCAATGGTGTTCAAGTGGTGCTCCAGTTGTTTTGGGATTGCACCCAAGGAGCCTATTACTATTGGTACTACCCTTGCTTGCTTTTGCCACAGTCTTTCTATTTCTATTTGTAGGTCTTAGTATTTTGTTATCTTCTCCAGTTCTTTCTCGTCTATTCTGCTGTCTCCAGGCACTGCCACGTCCACTATCCAGACTTTTTTGTCTTTCTTATCGACAATTGTTAAGCCTGGGGTGTTATGTTGCAGGTGCTTGTCTGTTTGAATTCTGAAGTCCCAGAGCAGTTTAATTTTTTAATAATAATAATTATTATTATTATGATTACCACTACTACTACTACTACTATTACTACTTGGCCTAAGACAAAGCCTTGTGGTAACTCACTACAACATGGATCAGCTGTTCTTGCCCTTAAAACTAGCAGCAACAATGAACTCAAAATCTAGACCTCTCTAAAACATGGGTGCAACTTGCATGCAATTGCATTGATAACAATTAAAATCTTTATAAGAATGCATGGTAGTCTCCTTTGAATGAGACCAAAGATAGAGTCAATTCCTGCAGCAAATTATAATTTCTTGATTTTTGGAAAATATAACAATTCCATGGAAAGTAAAAAAACTTGGCCGTCATCTGTTGGCAATTTTCATATTATTTCTGAAAGGGGAAATTCTATTTAAAGTTCATAGCTAATAGCTTTCTTAAAAGAGAGTGGGCAATATAAAGCTAGCTAGGTTAATAGATGACCATATTTTGCTAGTTCAGTTCCTTAAGTAGGCATGGTATGAATTAGTCCTGAAATTACTGCCATTCAATTTCACTTGAGGTTTGGTGGCAGGAAGATTGTATCCATTTTCTTCAAACCACTTAATATTTTAAACCTTTATCTTCCTTAGTTCCTTTTTCTTATTTAAAAAGCCATAATAATAATTTAAAAAAACACAAGGCAGATGTTTTAACTGCTTGATAGTTTTAATTGTCCTTTAGCAAGCCTCTTTTCCAAAAGAATAGAATAGAGCTGGAAGGGATCTTGGAGGTCTTCTAGTCCAGCCCCCTGCTCAAGTAGGAGAACCTACACCCTTTCACACAAGTGACTGTCTAGTCTCTTCTTAAAAACCTCTAGTGATGGAGCACCCACAATTTCTGGAGGCAAGCAGTTCCACTGGTTAATTGTCCTCACTGTTAGGAAGTTTCTCCTTAATTCAAGGTTGCTTCTCTCTTTGGTCAGTTTCCAACCATTGTTTCTTGTCTTGCCCTCTGATGCTTTGGAGAATAGTTTGATGCCCTCTTCTTTGTGGCAGTCCCTCAAATACTGGAATACTGTTATCATTTCACCTGCAGCCAATCTTCATATGTTTTAGTCTCCAGGCCTTGGATCATCTTAGTTGCTCTTCTCTGAACTTTTTCCAAAGTCTCAACATCTTTTTTGTAGCATGGTCATCAAAATTGGTTGCAGTATTCCAGGTGTGGTCTTACTAGGGTTTTATAAAGTGGTAATAATACTTTGCGTGATCTTGAGTCTATGCCTTTGCTCATACAACCCAGGATTGTATTAGCTTTTTTGGTTCCTGCTGCACACTGCTGGCTCATATTCAAGTGATCATCCACTTGAATCCACAGTTACTGTTTTTGAGCCAGGTCTTGCCTAAACTGTACTTATACCTTGGATTTTTTTTCCTGTCTAAATGTAAAACTTTGCTTTTCTCCACATTAAAATTCATTTTGTTGGATAGGGCCCTACCTGTTAGACCTCTCCATCTGCATGAAATATGTTGCTCAAAGTGCCATACATTATACTAAGGCGGAAACAGAATTATTATTTAATTGAACATCTGGCTTGGAACTATCTTTTTGAGGCTTTTTGCACAACGATTGCTTTTCAATCATCTTTTTTAGACATTGCCATTTAGCTATGCACACCTCATTCCAAATTATGTGACCACTGTAATAGCTCTGGTCCCAATTCTATGCTGCTTCCCATGTCGGAGATGTGTCAATTTATGCCATGATTAACATGTTAAGTCTGGGGCTTTTGATGAAGACCAGTCAAAAGAATTCACCCACTTTCTTGGCAGCCTTCCTTCAGTATTCCTGTTACCCTAAGTCACATAACAAGCTAAATGCTTCTTGGTTGATTTCTTGCCTCATATATTTAAATAATTCTTTTCTGGATCTTCATTTTTAAAGCAATGTATTAAAATACTTTATATTTTATTATAATTTATGAATATATTTAATAACTTGCTTTATTGTAAAATAGTACCAATTTTTGGACTGCTTTTGTTGTAACAACTAATGCTAAAAGTATATTTAACTATTTTGCTTTATACTGCATGAAAGTCCTCAGAATGAAAAAAAAAATCAATGCAGGTATTGTATGCAACCAAGATACCCATGCTCCCGGTCAAAAAGCAAATGTACCAAAAAGCACACAAACTTTCAAAAACATTAAAGATACATTTTAACCCAATAGAATTCAGGTAGGTGCTGCTTGAATAATTTTGCAGAATGCTCCTCTCCTTCAGCCAGTGTTTTTTTGTTTTGTTTTGTTTTTTGAGTAAATGGGACTTAGTACCATATTCTGGCTGTTTCCTGATCAACAATTTACTTGGCTTTGAGGTGGAGCAAAATAGGTGTTTCCAGTCCCTTTTTTTTTGCATTCTGTGCTCATGTTGTATTATCTTATGTTACATTCTAATCTATTGTATCCCTCAACCAAACCAGACATCTTCAAACTTCCCTTTGACTTCAGATTGAAGTCTAGATTGAAAGAGGAAGAACATACCAGCAAACATTTTCTAAACTTTGATATTTCTGGAGAAAAGTAATCACAAATGGATTCAGAGGGAATTTCAACCAGTTAAAGCAAGACAGAAGTGGGCCTCAAACTTTGTCTGATTTTATAGGCCATATGAAATGGACTAACACAAGATAACGTTAATATGCTTGGTAATGATGTTCTTTACAAACATTTATTGAAAATATCATGTTGATATAAAAAGAGACAGAGGCTCTCATTTGCAATCTTTTTTAACCCTTTCTCTCTCAAGATAGTTTCGAGGATTCCCATTAGTTGTGTCCTAGAAGTCACTTCTATCCTTGCTTGAAAAAGCTGCCATTTTTTCCCAGTTCAGCTTTGCTCTCTTGATATTCATGAAAAAGATGGCTTCAGTTTTGATTCTGAGACCAAAGCCTGGTAAGCTATCAATCACATCTGCCTATATTAGAAGGAAATGGGCTGCAGCTGGTTAAAATCCCAAGACTTTATTTGTACTCCAGTATTTAAAGTAAAAATAGCTGCCTTTTGACTCAAATGTGCCTTTTTTTTCCCAACAGGCAACTGGACTGTTTTTTGAAGGAGGAAGAGGAAGAAGGGAAGAGGTGGTGGTTTTGGTACTCATCCAAGAAGTTAAATGTTTTCTTCTTCTTCCTCAAGGAAAAATAGCCCAGTTACCTTTTAGGGGGGAAAAAGCACCTTTGAGACAACTATGACCTGGATGAGTAAGAAACTCCACAGACAGCTGCCTTTTGAATTGCATAAACCAGTACTTAAGCACAGTCTAAGATTGGCTTCTTGAAATGTTCCTATGGTTCTTGGTCCCTTGATACATAGAAATTTGTCTGAAAAAAATTGGTATAGGATATTGGACATTCTTTCTCCAACAAGAAAATGAGGAAGAAGAATTGTCATTATTACAATGATCTAAAAACAAAGAAACATTAGCTCAAGCACCACCACTGTAATATCAGTGCAAGATTAACTTTGCACTGAGTTTAATTTGGATGAAACTTGGGCAATTTCAACTTGCCTCTCAAGATTCTATGCTTACTCAACTGCTTAGAAGAGTTAGTCCTAATTTCGGTACTTTCAAATTTGGGGAACTTGAGCAACTGTTTATGATCCTAAGAGAAGTCTGTCCCAATGTGCTTGAATTCTTGATATGCCATGAGGCATTTGTTTTACACATTTTGACATCATACTTGCCCATCTTCTGTATTCAGATTTTTTTTCTCTTTTTTGGCTTTCTTTCTCAGCCCCATTTCTGCATCCCTTCTCTGTTTCCCATGGAAGTGCCCTTTCCGCTATCAATAGGCATCTATTTTTCCCTTTTTTCCCTTTTAAGTTACTTGCTATTACTAGAACTAACTTGGATACTCTATTATACATATTTTCCCCTTGGAAAAAAAGAAGTCTACCAGTGCAATTGAGCAAGAGATTTCTGAATTCAATTTCTGTACTGAAATATTTCAGGCTGTCTTAGAAAATCTCAACAAACATAATGGTTTTTATAAGGTACTGCAATCAATCTTACATATAATCTGCATCTGCATAAACACACTGCTATCCCCTCTCTTTCCCCTTGCTTCATCCCAATTTAAATCCTACATCACTTTAGTCACTGCCTGCATCTCATGTGACCTGTAGTTTATGAAAGATTACAGAATGCCTTTATACAATATGTTCATCTGAAAAGGTGGTACCAAACATCTTCCAAGTTTTGGCTATCAAAGACTAAGAATGCTTGAAAAGATCAATAAAATCAATCTAGCACCCTCTAGAGGTGTTTCAATTGCAATTTGCAAAATTCCTAATAAAGAATGCCATCACCTACTTAGATAGCATTATATAAAGAATAAATAGCAGTAGTATTCTATCAGCCTAAAAAATTTATATGCAAGTCTGCATCCCTTGGTGCTAGCATATACTAAGGTGCATTTTCAAATTTACATGGAAAAAAGTACAAGTGAGTGCTTTGTTATTTTCTTCCAAAGAAAATCAAAGCTCTTTTTCATTTAGAAACCTGCCATTTTTTGCAGTTTTCTGGCAAGAAGGAGTCCCAGATCTCCTTAGTGTTGTTATTTCCCTTTATAATTCCAATTACACTAATAATGTTTAGCTATTAATCTTCACTTCCCACATATCAACACCTGCCTGGAGATGCTAGCAGTAACTGAAAAGCTTGCCAAGCCTGTTGCTTAGATAAGTCCCAGCATTGTAACCTGATGCAAGATAATCATCTGAAATTGTATGGCACTATTGGTGTATAAGTTAACCAGATGTTCTCCAAAACCTTGCATTCTCCCAATGGTGAATGCTTATAGAATCATGTAGGAGGTTTAGAGGCCACTTTATTCAATTTCCCTGTTTAATGCAGTGCCCAACAGAAGAATGCCAAACCTCTGCTGTTTTATTCCTATCTCCTGAAGTCTATTCATATTTTTGTGTCATCTGAACATTTCTTTCACTGCTATCCTTTATCCTAGGTTAGGGAAAGACATTTTGGAAAGTATTAAGACCAGGTCAGAGTTCTGTAGTACTTGATGGACAGTTCTGGATTAAAGAGATTAATTGAGCAAATTGTCCTTGCCAAGGAATACCAGGCTTGTAAAAAATTATCATTTTCACAGGAATATCTTAGCAAGCCTTATATATCATCTTCTGTCACTAAGCAGTAAAAGTCTGTCCTTGCATCATAGTTGCGAGATCCCAAGTCAGAAATGTCTATGTCATTCTTCTGGTTTTCCTCAAGCTGTACCTCTTCTATTGCTCCGAGACATGGACCATCAGGATCAATCCTACCAGGTGGTGGTAGACCTGTGATAATTGGTCTTCGAATTACTGTAGGGCAGAAAAAAGTGATAATGGGGTAATATTTCCAAATATTCATACAAGACTAGTTACTTTGAAGTAAGAGAGCACATTATAATTCCTACAAAATATTCAAAGTGAAACTATATCTAATACCGAACCCATTCAATACCATTTTAAGTAGCTTACTTTCCAGCAAATTATACATTGTATACTGGATCTAATATTTCTGCAAAATGCTATTAAGTCAGCGTAATAATTAAATTACATGAAATCCAAGAAAGCTATGACTGGGGGAAAATTCTACTGGAGGAAATGAATTAAAATTATTTCTGATCAATACTTCAATCAAAGCTTGGATCCTGTGAGAGAACTTCAATTACAGACCTCTATGTTTTCATATGGTTTGATCTTCAGTTGGCAGTTTTAGACTTACCCTGCGTGTTTTACCTCAAAATATGCGCTTGGCATAGACAGTAGTAAAGGGGCTGATTTTTCAACCAATAGGAAACTGGAGAGACTTTTAAAGCGTAAACGAATTAGTTAAATTTGAAAATAACATTGGTTCCTCTCTTCACTAATGTGTGGTTATAACTTTCAACTAATTTCCAGTTATACATTTATGGTATGTTGATGTGTTAACATTAGCGAGTGATATTGCTCTGCATATATTATCAAGACCTGGATTGACAAGGATAGAAATGCAGTCCTTTTCAAAATTTGTCATCCCAGATTTGGGGGCTTACACCAAGCTCAGTATCATGGGAGGGGAAGAAGGTGGCAATGATGTTCTGTAACAACTTATATAATCAGAAGCTGATTTTCACTGTCAGCATGCAGGTGCACATCTGTTAGGTTGCATTATAGGGAAAGAATGGGAATCTTCCTGATGTACTGTTTGCCTACTGCCCAGCGAGTTCCCTTCCTGAATTTTGGATAAAGTTGAAATCCCCCCCCCCCCGCCTCAGTTAGTGAGTAACTTTAATTTCCATGACTTTGGAAGGATCTGGCAAGGCTCAGACTTCATATTTTCCATGGCAATCATAGGACTTTCCCAACAATCTTGGGCCAAAATCACAAATGTGGACACAAATTGAAAACTTTGTTTTGTATCAAAGACATTGCTGATTGATCTGGAAATGGATGATACAATCTTGGGTCTATTGCAAAGATCAGATCAGTTTCTGATTCAAGTATGTCACCAGGGACCTTTGATGTTTCCAGGCTGTCTTCAGAGGTTCAGATATTTCTTCCTTGAAATCTAATTTTTATTTAATCATGTCAGATATACAAATACATTGTGATACTACTGCCATCCATAATTAATTCATTTTGGACACAAATATAACTGACTAATTATGTTTGGCAATACTATGAGTCATACACATTTTTCCATTGCAGAATTCTTCTTCAACATGAATTGCTCAGTAATATTAGGAGCATTGATGGCTAGCATTCAGCAGGTAGCATGACAAAAGCAAGACGTTCTGTGGACACTTGCACTACAGTACAAATAGGAACATTATTTTTTCTTATTGATGATTTGTTTGTTGTATTATTATCAGACCACACTGCCAAGCAATCTTTGCATCCAAAAATAGACAAATTATATTAATTATATTTTGCATGCATTTTAAGAAGGTTGACTCCAATCAAGACTTATTATTTCATTCTGTATTTGTATTTAGGAAACAACTTTTGAATTTCCTTAGTCTTTTTTTTTTAACATCTGATGCTTTGGTTGAGAAAAAGACAAGAGAAACCAAATTATAATTCCTAAGAGATAATCATCACACAAGTTAGAGAGTAAGAAGACTTGAGCAGCCAAAGATGCTGTTGTACAAGACAAATGAAAGTTTCCAATAAGCTGCAGACCAATACTGTGACATGAACAATCCTTATTCATGATAGTGAACATAGCCCTTTTGCAAAATAAGACAATCACTGCTGTCACAGTTACAAGGGAAGCCCAGCCAAACTCATGAACTGCTTTTATTTTTTCCAACAATTAAAATCATAGAGTATAAGTAAGCTTGGTTTTGTGCTGCTAGATGCTGGTAAATCTTTTATGAACACTGAACTTATTTTGCTCCTGTTGCTAAAATTAAAATGTATTGCCCTGCAAGCTCAGCCTGTATTAGCAAATCCCCAATGCCAGGACTGGTTCATTAAATCTTCTGGATTTAATGAATGCCCACAGATGTATTTTCCTACCATTGATCTAAATGCCTAAATGCCTAAAAAAGGAATAATATGAAGTAGCTACAATATCTCCAGGTTTCAGGCTCTGGAGATGGAAGACTGCCCTACGGAATAGAAGCAGAGCTATTCAATGGCTACTTTGCCTCAATGTCAGGGATGTGTTCCAGCCAGTAACTGTGAAGAACAGACTAAAATGGCAGTATTGCAGCTTGATTAAAAACCCAGAGCCAGATAGATCACATCTAAGGTGCTTAACCCCTTTATGGATTACTGCCTTGTCATGGTGAAGGGACTTGCGTAACTCAATGAAGCTATAAGCTATGCCGTGCAGGGTCACCCAAGACGGACAGGTCATAGCAGAGAGTTCTGACAAAATGTGATCCACTGGAGAAGGAAATGGCAAACCACTCCAGTATCTTTACCATGAAAACCCATGGACAGTACTAAAAGGCAAAAAGATATGACACTGGAAGATGAGCCCCTCAGGTCGGAAGGTGTCCAATATGCTACTGGGGAAGAGCAGAGAAGAAAGAATGAAGCGACTGGGCCAAAGCCTAAAGGACGCTCAGCTGAGGATATATCTGGTAGTGAAAGGAAAGTCCGATCCTCTAAAGATTTTTTCTCCATAGGAATCTGGAATGTAAGATCCATGAATCAAGGCAAACTAGATGTAGTCAAAAAAGAGATGACAAGACTGAACATCGACATCTTAGGAATCAGCGAACTAAAATGGACAGGAATGGGTGAATTTAACTCAGATGACCATCAGGTATATTACTGTGGGCAAGAATCCCTCAGAAGAAATGGAGTAGCCTTCATAGTCAATAAAAGAATAGGAAAAGCAATACTGGGATACAATCCCCAAAATGACAGAATGATCTCAATTCGAATCCAAGGCAAACCATTCAATATCACAGTAGTCCAAATCTATGCCCCAACCACTGGTGCTGAAGAGGATGAAATTGACCGGTTCTATGAAGCCCTACAGCACCTTATAGAATTAACACCAAAAAATGATGTCCTTATCATCATGGGGGATTGGAATGCTAAGGTAGGAAGCCAAAAGATAACCGGAATAACAGGCAAGTTTGGCCTTGGAGTACAAAATGAAGCAGGGCACAGGCTGATAGAATTTTGTCAAGAGAATACGATGGTCATAACAAACACTCTTTTCCAACAACCCAAGAGACGGCTCTACACATGGACATCACCAGACGGTCAACATAGAAATCAGATTGACTATGTGCTCTGCAGCCAAAGATGGAGAAGCTCTATACAGTCAGTAAAAACAAGACCAGGAGCTGACTGTGGCTCAGATCATGAGCTTCTTGTTGCAAAATTTAGGCTTAAATTGAAAAAAGTAGGGAAAAGCACTAGGCCACTCAGGTATGAACTAAATCATATTCCTGATGAATATACAGTAGAGGTGACAAATAGATTTAAGGAACTGGATCTGATAGACAGAGTGCCTGAAGAACTATGGATGGAAGTTCGCAACATTGTACAAGAGGTAGCAACTAAAACCATCCCAAAGAAAAAGAAATGCAAGAAAGCAAAATGGCTGTCTGAGGAAGCTTTGCAAATAGCTGAGGAAAGAAGGGAAGCGAAAGGCAAAGGAGAAAGAGAAAGATACACCCAATTGAATGCAGAATTCCAGAGAGTAGCTAGAAGAGATAAGAATGCCTTCTTAAATGAACAGTGCAAAGAAATAGAAGAAAACAACAGAATAGGGAGGACCAGAGATCTCTTCAAGAAAATTGGAGATATGAAGGGAACGTTTCATGCAAAGATGGGCATGATAAAGGACCAAAATGGCAGGGACCTAACAGAGGCAGAAGAGATTAGAAGAGATGGCAAAACTACACAGAAGAACTATACAAGAATGAGCTTAACGTCCCAGATAACCACAATGAGATGGTCACTGACCTCGAACCAGACATCCTAGAATGTGAAGTGAAATGGGCCTTAGAAAATCTGAGCAACAACAAAGCTAGTGGAGGTGACAGTATTCCAGCTGAGCTATTCAAAATCTTAAAAGACGATGCAGTAAAAGTGCTACACTCAATTTGCCAGCAAATTTGGAAAACTCAACAGTGGCCACAGGATTGGAAAAGGTCAGTTTACATTCCAATTCCAAAGAAAGGCAATGCCAAAGAATGTTCAAACTATCGCATCATTGCACTCATTTCACATGCTAGTAAAGTTATGCTTAAAATCCTACAAGCTAGACTCCAGCAGTATGTGGATCGAGAACTACCAGAAGTACAGGCAGGATTTCGAAGAGGCAGAGGAACTAGAGATCAAATTGCCAACATACGCTGGATCATGGAGAAAGCTAGGGAGTTCTAGAAAAACATCTACTTCTGCTTCATTGACTATGCTAAAGCCTTTGATTGTGTGGATCACAACAAATTGTGGCAAGTTCTTAAAGAGATGGGAGTACCAGACCATCTCATTTGTCTCTTGAGAAACCTATATGCGGGTCAAGAAGCAACAGTGAGAACTGGACACGGAACCACTGATTGGTTCAAAATTGGAAAAGGAGTCCGGCAAGGCTGTATACTGTCGCCCTGCCTATTTAACTTATATGCAGAGCACATCATGAGAAAGGCAGGGCTAGATGAATCAAAAGTTGGAATTAAGATTGCCGGGAGAAATATCAACAACCTAAGATATGCAGATGATACCACTCTAATGGCAGAAAGTGAAGAGGAACTAAAGAGCCTCTTGATGCGGGTGAAGAAGGAGAGTGCAAAAGTTGGCTTGAAACTCAACATTAAGAAAACCAAAATCATGGCATCCGGCCCTCTCAATTCCTGGCAAATAGATGGGGAAGAAATGGAGGTAGTGACAGATTTTATTTTTCTGGGCTCCAAGATCACCTCAGATGGGGACTGCAGCCAAGAAATTAAAAGATGCTTGCTCCTAGGGAGGAAAGCTATGGCAAATCTAGACAGCATACTAAAAAGCAGAGACATCACCCTGCCAACAAAAGTGCGTATAGTCCAGGCCATGGTTTTCCCAGTTGCAATGTATGGCTGTGAAAGTTGGACCATAAGAAAGGCTGAGCGCCAAAGAATTGAGGCCTTTGAACTATGGTGCTGGAGAAGACTCCTGCGAGTCCCTTGGACTGCAAGGCGTTCAAACCGGTCAGTCCTAGAGGAGATCAACCCCGACTGCTCTTTAGAAGGCCAGATCCTGAAGTTGAAACTCAAATACTTTGGCCACCTAATGAGAAGGAAGGACTCACTGGAGAAGGGCCTAATGCTGGGAAAGATTGAGGGCAATAGAAGAAGGGGACGACAGAGAATGAGATGGCTGGATGGAGTCACTGAAGCAGTAGGTGTGAACTTAAATAGACTCCAGAAGATGGTAGAGGATAGGAAGACCTGGAGGAACATTGTCCATGGGGTCGCAATGGGTCGGACACGACTTCGCAATTAACAACAACAACAACAAAGGTGCTTAAGGAGTCAGATGATAGTTTGGCCAAAGCATTATAAATTATATTTGAAAAATCCTTAAGTAGGGATTAAATGTCAGAACAACTATTGCTCCTTTCTTCAAAAAGGGGGTAAAGGAGAATCCAGGAACTACAGATCCCTGTATCTGACATCAATATTTGGACAAACTCAAGAAAAGATCATAAGAGCAATCCCCAAGTCCTTTGAAAGCACTGCAGTAATTACCAGTTGTCAGTGCATATTTGCCAAAAACAAAAAGAACTAATTTTATCATATTTTCTTTTAAACTTGATAGCCTGTTGAGGGAGAGTTGTAGATAAATACATCTAGATTTCAACAAAACATCCAACCAAATGCCACATAACATTCTGAATAGTGAAGTAAAAGCTGAATGACATAAGCATAAGTGGAGGCATAGCTGTCTCAGAAATTGCAATCCAAGACTGTTCATCAAGCTGGAGTGTCCTTAAGGATGAGAGTCCTTATAGACTGGAGCGAGGGATCAAGATGGGTACCATAAAACTCAGCCTGAGATCCTTTATAATACAATATTTCTGTTAATGACTTGGATCAAGAAGTGGCAGGAATGTTTACCCAATTTTCATATGGGAGAAAATTGGATAAGACAGCAAGATGGCAGATATAACATTACAAAGTATCTTGACATGTTAAAGGAGTGGGCTGAATATAACCAAATGAAAGATGCATATGCAAAGTTCTTGTTTTGGAAAATAAAAACCAAGGATACAAATATGTGATGGGATACCTAGCTTAACAATAGTATCTTTGAAAAAGGAATTAAAATACAAAAAAAATTTAAACTGGATATGAGTCAATCACATGATATGGGTGGGAAAATAGTAAATGCAATTTTAGTTATAACAACAGAAGCAGAGTTTCCAAATCAAGGGATCTATATAAAAATATGCTTCTAGACTCCTCTTCATTTTTATTCAAATCTTGGGAAGTAATTGTTCTATTTTATTCTCACCTCAAGTATGCTACTGCAGTGGACACCTTAAGAAGGGGTCAAATAAATTGGAGAGGGTATAGAGAAGGGTAGAATGATCAAGAACATTGAAATTAAACGGAAAGAAGTCAGAGAAGAACTGTAGTGAAGAGAATATGAGGACAGCCTTCAAATACCTAAAGAATATCAATAGAAGATAATATGTGTGGCTCAGGGTTGAACTGTGGGATCCTCAGTGCTCTCTAAGCTTGCTGTTTTCTTGCAGAGGTTTCATCTACAAGGGAGTGGAGGTTGCTCTCATTTTATATACAAATGGCTTGCCCTGTGGGTGTTGGTGGAAGTAGTCTTGGTGGTCCCTTGATTGTTGTTTATTGTTAGTTTGTTTGTCTGAGTTGCTGGTTGCTTGACTTGAGGTATTTTTAACTTCTGGATTGTTGATCTAATGTTAATCTTAGTGTTAATCTCTGCTCATCTGGGTGTTGCTTGCTGGTGAGGTGTTTTGGTCTTTTTGTTCCTGCTAGATGGTATTCATAGATGCACTTTGTTAGTCTTCTGCCCGTTTGTCCTAAACAGTGGCTGTTATAGTCCTCACACTGTATGTTGAAGATGACTCCTGTTTTTTTCTTCTGGGGCTGCTGGATCTTTGGTTTATGTGGGGTGTTTTGGATGGCCTTAGTAGGTCTGTGTGCCACGGTGATACCATGTGGTTGTAATAGTCTGTTGGTCAGTGGTGGGATTCAAATATGTGAACAACCAGTTCTCTGTGTGGATGCTGCTTCTGGAAGTCCATTCTGGGCCTGGGCAACAAAAAATTAGCTACCAGTTCTGCCGAAATGGTGCGAACCAGCTGAATCCCAGCACTGCGGTTGGTGGTTTCTGACATGTTTTTTATACATACAGTAAAGAATGTCATGCATAAGAATATATATCATTAAGAGTAGCTCAATCCTGGAACCAATTATCCAGGGAGCTAAGGGATTCAACTTCACTGCATATGTTTGACTAAGGCTAGACAGAAATCTGTTAAGCATGCTTTAATTTGAATTCTTGCACTGAGCAGGGCTTGGGCTTGATGGTCTAAATATCCCCTTCCAATTCTGATTCGTGCTTCTTATTGCTTTCTTTTTTTCAGTTATGATATATTGGCATATATGACACAAGAAGTCAGAATGTTACTTAATGAAAAAATTATATGCCACCCTCCCATATTGCTACAGTAAAATAAATTTATCACAATAATTAAAATGCAATCTCCATCTATCTATATACCACTACACAATTTATGGTTACTGCAAATTGTTTTATGGAAAGTCCTGTCTTGCTTGCTGATCAGTATTTAATATGAATTTATAAACACGTATGGATTAATTAGCATGCAGTAAACTGTGCCCCAAGTATGCTAAGGAGGTTCACTGTCTGTAATACATTGACTTTTACACAGACTGAGGCCAGAGGTGCTTGGGCAAAGCAGGGCTGTTTAAACTGGTGCCATTCTACATCAGCCACCATTAGGTCATTTGGAAGTCACAGAAACAGCAAAGAATGGAGCTGAGAGTTGTAATCAAACAAAACATATTAAAATATTAGGCAAACATGTCCTAATATAAATATCATAAAAGTTAAGTGCTTTAATTAGTGTTATTTAAACTTAACTGTGCAAATCTGGACTGGGAGAAAATTTGAGTTAAAAATAATTGAATAGCCTTCAATTCTCAAGGGATACATACTTTTTCATTTGTCTCCACTGTAACCTCATAGTGAATAGGTTTTATCTTTTGCGAATGAACGAAAAAAATCTGTTTATTAGGAGCAAAATGAAAAAAAAAAAAAAAGCACAGACCGGAGTCACTTTCAACTTTTTGCGACTCTCTGCAAAAAGCCCCACTGGGTCCCTTGGACATGCATGATCTTAGACATGCATGGTCTTCGTCAGAGCAATAGAATTACCCCAAAATAAGGGTAGTCAAGAGCATATAGCTATTTTCTAGCAATGTACAACAACAGAAGGCTTGTACCAGACAAGCCAAAGAAGCTTCATTAGCCAAGATGCTACCTTCATCTAGAGAAGCCAAAAGACGTACCTATTCATTTGGGAGAAGAAATCTGGCTGGCTTCACTCATTTAGTTCATACCATTTCCCTGCAAACTGCTCTCCCCAGCACCTGAGTCTTCAGTTTCTAAAGCTATCTCACTCCGTCTGCCACTTCCAGTCAAGGAATTACTCCTCTGCTTCGTATAAACAGTTGACTAAGTATCTATTTGAGTGAGGGTCTGTCTTTTCCATAGATGGTGTCACTTATATGGCCATCTGCTCAAAATGATGGATTTAGCCAGGCTACTGAACTCATTTAGGTCTCTGTGAAAGCCTTATGTCTTGACCCATTAATGTTTATAGTTGCCTACTATAATTGATACCTTGGCAATTCCATTTTTTCTTTCTTTCAAGCTTTAGTTCCAATCGTCAAGCCTTTTCATGGAATAATTAAAGAAAGTAAGGCCCCAGCAGAATCAGTATGATTAACATCAATTATGTCACATTGATATTTGTGCCCCAGAAAGACTCGTTTCAGAGTCATTCCATTAAGAAACAGTGACAGAGCGAATACGATATTGTGTTATTACCAATGTCTCCTTCAGGGTGAGAGCCCCCCTGGAATTCTGGATAGTTGCTATGGAGAATCAGCATTGGATCCTTGTCTTCCTGGAGATAGGTTTGAGGATCCCCCCTGAGGCCTTGATAAGATACTTTCCTTGGCAAGGCGAGGCACAGTTCCTTCCAGAAATCTGATGAAATTGCCTAGAAGCAGGGGATAGAGAAAAAAAATTGTCATAGGCTCACCCTCATATGTAGTCTTTCCAGTAATATATCACAATAACCTAACTGGAGAGTGTAGAAACAGTGTCTGGCTTCCAAAGGACTGAAGGAGGGAGATAAAGAGCCTGTTGCTGGGAATAGTTCTCTGAGTAATATCTATATTCAGCTTTGTTTCATCTCTGAGATGAAACATCCTGCAAAACCAGAGAAGACTGCTGTTAGCTGCCAAACTTACTTTTTCTTTTTAACTTACAATTTTAGTGCAATTGTATGTTCTGCATATGTGTGTATGCACTTTAAGCCAGTTTTTTTTCCCTTTCATCATTGTAAAGAAAAAGCAGAAGAATATGTGGATATATCAAGGGGAGTCTCAAAAACTGTAGGGAGATCAAGCAGACGACAGCTTTGCAAAAATTCCTTTCCCTATCCTGCTATTTCTGGACAATCTAACTTTCTTGCCATGAATGCGATGACTTAGACAAATCCATCATTCAATTTTCTGCTAGTTATGTTCCTGCCGAATAATTCCAGTTCTATAAATGTAACAACTTTTTATGCAACCAGTGACTTCATGCGATCATGTAAGATTACTGTATAGTATATTTGGGTAACATTGATTACAATTTGGAAGAGGAAGTGAAATTGAAACACTGTGATGTGTATTATGCAAGTATCACTTCTCAGTCAACTGGCAGAACTAATAGAAGTCCTTGCCAACTTTACTATATTTTCAGACACAAGGAGGCATCAGAAACTTTCCTGGAGGGTCTATGACAATTTGCTGTGACCAACTTGCCATGGCCAACTCGCTACGGGACAACTCTTTGCTAGCCAAAAGTTACACTAATAGCGAAGAAAGGGTGGAATAGAATCATTAAAGAAAAGGCGCAAAAGGAGGGACAGAATGAAATGTGATCAATAAAAATTAAAATATTTTTTTTATTTTAAATAATTAAATAGAATTGTCAAATTGTTCCACAGTGAGTTATCCCATGGCAAATTGGCTGTGACAAGTTGCCCTACAGCAGACATGTCAAACACAAGGCCCGGGGGCCGGATGCGGCCCGCGAAGTGGTTTCATGTGGCCCGCGAAGCCATCCTGGAAACAGTGAGGGAACGGCCTCCACTGCCTTGGCCCTGGCCCAAGCCAGCCGGGAGCCAATGTACACTTTTGTGGTGGCCATCTTGGCACTTGCCCCGTTGGACCATACCTTGGCACTTGCCCCGGTCTCACCCCCTTCTGCCAGAGACCCTCAGATCTGTCCCACTCCTGCCCAGGCCCCCAGAGGCACCCTTAATGCGAATGATGTAGAACTGGCCACCCCTACCCACTAGGCTGCACCCACTATGGCCACACCCACCCGGCCCCCCAAGAGCAACCGCAATGCTGATGCGGCCCTCAGTGAAATTGAGTTTGACACTCCTGCCCTATAGCAAGTTGGCCATGGTGAGTTGGCTGTGACAAGTTAGCCGTGGCGAGTTGTCCCATTCCCTCCCAGGATGTGGCCCTTCCTTTGTCTTTTTCATTATTTACTTTAGTATCACCGATCAACTGCTGCACCTTCCTTGAAAAGAAGTCGGGGTGAGCTGAGACACAGAGAAAAATAGACAACATTCTTTATAGCTGTCATTGGCTGAGGCAAAATGAAACTACATAAATAATGAACAGCCACCACTGTACAAACCTATGGGACAAATGTACACATACATACAAAGGAAACATGAATATATTGCAGTGTCTCAGGTTACGGAAAGCTTTTCCTGTATGAATAGTCCATATATTTCTAGAGTTCTCATTCTAAACAAGGCAGAGGTGGTGCCAGAGTCTCCCTCTCCCCTGCTCTTTCCATCTCTTGTCCCTGTGCAGGGTATTAGGTTTCATTATGTCCAGCCAGGGGCCTTCATCTCCTACTCATCAATAATGTCTGCCTCTAGGAAAGGTAAGATGATCCCACCTGTTCAAGATATTTGGGGGAAAATATCCTTCAATCAGTGCATGGTACTTTTAGGATGAAAAATCCCATTACTGAGCTAGGAAATGCTATTAGACTATCTAATGAAGGTTAAGAACACAACAGCCTTTTCTGGGCATGGCAAAGCCTCCCTCTTTCAAAAATCTGGGAATAAACAATTGCAAAATACAACATTTATTCACTGAATATTAGCAGCACTTCTATATCTCAAAGATGTCACTGTACTACATGATGGTTTATAGTATGGTTAGCCGCAAGGATTTCAGCTGTCTGATAATCTATGCTGAAGACATTCTTACTGAAGAACATAAGCAATAATATTAACAAGCTGTGTAGCTTTGTGTACACACACATCCCACCAAAGCCTTGCTGTGCTGCCTTATCATGGGGAGTAGGGAATATTGTTCTTGAGAAGGATGAGTGAAAATGTTGGGAGTGTATATCAAGAGTACAGTGTATACTGTGTTCCTAGCAGTGTCATCCAAGGCATGAAGGTCATCCCAGCTGCCCAACTAAAGCAAGTAGGAACCTATATTGGACAGCAGCAATATAGGAAGATTGTGGAGGCAGAAGATCATTTTAGTGACAATGTTAAGGCATCATTTCATACTGTACAGGACATACAGGTTGTCCTCGGGTTACAATGGCAACTGGAATTTAAATTTCCATTGCTAAGTGATGCGATCATAAAGCATGATGCCATGTGACCACAATGCTTAGCAATGGCAATCCAGCAATCTCATTTGCTATCTAACCCCAGGAGTATGTGGTTTGTTAAGTGAGAGGAGACAGGTGTCCCAGGCAAGGCATGGGGGGGCACGGGTGCCATGAGAGCAGGCAATAGAGATGCAAGAGGCCCGCAAGAGCATTTAGTGGACCAGTGTGGGCTGCAGGCTGGTGCTAATGAGTGGGGGATTGGGGAGGGGGTGCTGTAGACAGGAGCATGCTATGGAACGTAGGTGGGGTGGTCTTCTAAGATCCTTGGGATCTCATACTCCCTAGTTATGCTTTCAGGGAGGAAAAAGTGGCCATATGATCACGGGATACTGTAAGTACGAGTTGGATGCCAAGCACCCAAATTGTGATCACATGGCTACAAGGACGCTGCAACAGTCAGAACTTTAAGGACTGTCATAAGTACCACTTCTTCATCAGCTTCACAACTTTGAAGGGTTACTGAATGAGTAGTTGTAATCTAAGAACTACTTATAATAAACCACTCCTATTTTTTTCCCAAGAAAGCCACATGGGTAGAAAATATAAAATGATTGACAATATAGTGGTGGCTGATGGACCTCTCGGGTCAGATGGCACTCAATATGACACCAATGAAACATTGGAGTTCTTTTAGCGTAGTACTGATGTTACATGGTTAGATTAAGTCTTAAATCTAATTGCTGATGTTGACACACAGGAAAAAAAAAAATCCAAAGCTGCAAAGGCAAAATTACAGTGGGAACATGGAATGTAAGAAGCATGAACAGGGGAAAGCTCAACATAGTGAAAGATGAAAAAACTTCAAAATGACATCTTAGATATCAGAGGTTGCTGATTGGGATTAGACACCTTCAGTTAAAAAAAAAATAACATTGTTTATCAGGGGATTAAAAAATGAAGGAATGGTTAAAAAACATATAGATTTTAAGCCAGAATTATTTTTGCTAGGCATAATTGTAGGAAATTATGAGAAAAATTGTATATATTTCATTTTACATATATTAACTGCAGCAAGAATTGTATTTGCTCAACATTGAAAAAATGGAGGAAGTGTTACCAATGGAGGAAGTATTAATTAAAAAAATCTTAAGAGTGTGCAGAAATGGATAGACTGACATTGAAAATGAAAGAGAAAGAAGTTCAATTTATTTTAGACATGGGATACCTTTTATTATTGGCTAGAAAAACGAGGTAGAGAGAAAGGAACTTCATATGTATTAGTAAGTTAAATGTTGGAACCCAGACAATATGTTGCTGATAAAATATTAAGCACTTGTGATTATAAAAATTAATAAAAATATGTATTATAAAATGAAATGGCATTGCTTTTATAATTAGCAAGGGTATAGCACAAACAATGCATGGCTACAAGGCAATCACTGACCAAATAATACCGATTTGGTTTCATGGACACTCCTTTAATATAACAATCATCCAAATTGATGCTCCAACCACTGATATAGAAAACAAGGAGGTTGATGAGTTTTACATCAAGTTCAATTTAAAATTGTCAGAACATGCAAGCAAACTTGTCATTAGAGACTGGAATACCAAAGTTGGAAACATTAAAAAGAAAAAAATGTAGTTGGAATGTATAGCTTAGGAAATTAAAATGAGACAGGAGTCCGACTTATCAATGTCAGTGATGTCAAGGAATTCTTCATAGCTAACACTGCCTTCAAATAACCCAAATGATGCCTACATAAATGGACATCTCCATCAGATGTGCATAAAATCAAATTGACTAACTTATTACTGAAATGAGAGGAAGAGCTAAATTATAGCATCAAAGACACGGCTATATGGCTGTGGAACAGATCACAAACCGGTCATGTACAAGTTCCAAGTTAAGCTAAAGAAGAAGAAAGCCAGCCAGTTTTCACAATGTGTTCTTGAACATGTACCAACCATTTTCAAGGAGAACATCAGAAATCGCTTTGAAATCCTGAGCCCCATTGATAGAGAACCAGAAGAACTATGGAAGGAACTCAAAGAGGTTGTTAAGGATGAGTGTGAAAAGAGACTGCCACAGATGAAACAGAAGAAAGCAAACTGGATGCCAGAACAAACCAGGAAAATGCCAAGAAGAGAACAGAAGCCAAAGCCAGGAAAGACAAAAATCTCAGAAAGGAACATTTAGTTTCAGAGAGATTTTAGAAGAGACAAGAAACAGCATTGCTTACAATGGACAATGAAGATATTGAAGTGGTAGATAGCTACTGCTTTTCAGAATCAATCCTCAACAGTAAGGGAACAATCTTTCAAGAAATACACTGCAGACAAGCACTTTGT